ATTATGAATATATATACTTATGGGTCTACGACCAAAATTTAGGGATGTTACAAACGGAATGACAACGTTAATGTACCCTCATTTTCAAGGTAGTAGGAGGGTATAAAAAAAACATTTCGAGGGCAAGAAAACCTTCCGGCAGAAGATATATTTGATATAATATAAAACCGTCAAGACAAACGTTTATATTTAAACCTGAATTCTTTGATATTCTAATATTTTAAGGTTAATTTTATTAAAAATACACCCTCCTATTGAAATCATTTTTTTGTTGGTTTTATTCATTACCAAATGCAGATAGGTGTTAGTAGTTGTTGTAACAGTAGTAGTAGCAGTAATAGCCAGCTGTAGCTATCATCATGTAATTTGTTCTTATATAATTTAGCTGAAATAGAACAATCAGATCAGTAGTATATATGATTATATTATATATTTTTAGGTAAATATAAAATATTGTTTTTATTTTTATTTTTTTAATTAATAATTGTTTGTTTTTTTTTTAGTTTTTTATATATTTTCTTGTAAATTATTGTTGCTGCAAACTTACCACTCTGTGTGTATACAACTTTGTTTTGATAACCTATGTTTCGTTTGTACCCTTCAATTAATTATATAATCGGGTTTATAATGTTTTGATTTTTTTTTTAACTTTTGGTATTTTTCAATATTTTGTAAGGAGTCATTTGTACTTAAAAAAAATTAAATTGTACTTTTTTGGGACGGGGTTTGTGTAAAATCAACAAAGGTGGGATTTATAAAATCAGGGTTTAAAAAAATAAATCGTATTGTGTTTTTAAAAACATTTTACAAAAATGCCACATTTTCTTTAGATAAAATGAGAAATTAATAAATTTTGATACAAATTAAAATTCTAAAGCTTTTTTCATTAAAACATAAAAGCAAATAAAAATGTATAAAATATTTTTTTTTCGATTTTCTTCTTGGTTCTGGATTTTTCGATTCTTACTTCCACTCCATAAATTATAGTTTTTTTTTTTTATTTTTGATTTTTTTATATTAAAAAAATATATATAAAATTTTGTTTATATATTTTATGTAAATATATGTATATTTTCTTTCATTATTCGTGCAACTTACCACTGTTTTTATAAAACTTTGTTTTTGATAACTTCTGTTTTGTATCCTTCAATTAATTATAAATGGGTTATAAATGGACTTTCGATCTTTTTTTTTTTGTACTGATCCTTTGGCAGTTTTTTAATAAACTTAAATTGTAGAATTCGTTGTTGTAAAACCAACAAAATCATAGTTAAAAAATACATTGTATTATGTTTTTAATAAAATCCAAGAAAAAAAATATTTTTCTTAAAACAAAATGTGGAATTAATAAATTTTGGATACAAAATAAAATTGTCAAGTTTCTTTTTGTTTTTTTTTTTTCATTAAAATATAAAAGCAAATAAAAAGGTTTATTAAATGTGTAAATTGTATAAATCAATATGATTTCTTTGTAATATTTTTACTTTCTGCTATTTTCATTCATTAATATCACCATAAATTATAGTTTCGCTTAGTGTAAATGTACTTTTTTTGGCATTCATTCATACTCGATATTTTGTCCTTTGCATTTTATGCAGCTGTATATAAAACCCATTTCGAAAATATGTATATTTTGCAGTTTAGCAGTTTTTTTTATAGGTTTCGAGTTTAAAATATTAGCATTAGAGGCCACTTTATTTTATGTACACGGTATATAAAACACCTATTTTTTAATAAATAAACTTACCTATCACTCAGATTATCTTATATGTACCTTTCTTATCAAATGGGTGTAGAAAATATTAGGACTTTTGCAATTTGTTGCATTGCATACATATCGGTATTTACCACGTAATTGCATTTTTGGATCAAAAAATCATGTGTAGTGAGATTTCAATATTTTTTGTAGTTAGGAAAAATTATGTCTTTTATATTTTAATTCTTACAGATTAATTTATATTTTTTTTTAATTATTTCGTAGAATAAAAAAATAGGAATATTTTTATACTTTTTACTGCGAAATATATATTTCAGTTAATTGCTATGGAATGTTACAGAAATCAGAGCATGATTTCATTATTATTTGGATTAGAAAATATCTCCTAACTTTCAAGATTTTTGTATGGAAACAAATTTACTTAATAATATTAAACACTACATCAATGTTTCTTGACATCTTAACTTGAAGTTAATAAAACGTACCATAAATGTTGGGACCGCCATGTCCCATTTAATGTTAGTACGAACATGTTAACAAATATCAGTTGGTTTTCCAACAGATGTACATCCTCAGCACATTTCAGTTTATTAAAATATATTTTGGACTTGCGTTTTGATTATTTAAAATAATGCCCTTTCGGAAGAGATAAGGGATTACTGGACCAACATTGTCCCCTTCCCATTTGACTTAATTCTGATGTAAATACGACGTGCTACTTTTGGACTATATCATCCTTTGGACTATATCATCCTTTGGACTAATAAACCTCCATATCAGATATGTTTTTTTTTTTTTAATTTTTTGGAGGTACAGAAAACGTGGACCGACATATCCCATATTTACATCGGAACTATGGTTAAAAGATATAGAGATACACGAAAATTGAAACAAATCTATGATTAGTTTTGCATGTTAGTCAAAATTTTGACGTCTAGTGGCGGAAATATAAAAAGGAGTCGGCCAATAAATTCCATATTCACATTAGATCTTGTGTTTGTAGAAATATTGAAATGTGCTAGGTTTGGAAAGAATCCTGTGCATAGTTTGCAATTTCTTACTGTGGGGGAGGTATCAGAATGAGTGATCTCATCTATTCCACCTCCTCACCAGATTTTGTGTAGGCAGAAATATTGAGATGTGTCAAGCTTGATAAGAATCGGATGCTCATTTTGAATTTTGTGAAGGTTGTGATAATTAAAAACATTGACCCTTTTCATGGAAGCCACTATAAGGAGTGGTCTGATCTACAATCTTCATACTACAGCTAGTGCTGGAAAAAAAAAACAAAATCGGATTATCCTTTTTCTTCCCATAGAGAAACTTTTTTTTTTAAAAATTTGACCTTTGGCGACCATCTCCGAACTCGATCTAAGTTTGTTGTTAATGTCACGATATACAACGATTGGACGAAATCGCGTACTCTCTTCGAGAGTTATCGCGCGCACCAGACAAGAGAACAGAAGGATATGCCTAGATCGACTCGAAATGGATTTCGTTCAGAGACTGGACTGGACCGCTATTGCCCATTTCCGAACTTTGATCTAAAACCGTTATTTCGATGAGGCAAGTTTTGGCCGTGTAAAGTGTCATATACCCCCTGTAGCCATGAGTCTGAGGGCATAAAATGTCACTTGATGGCCCAGTGACTATACACATATGCCTTATACCATCAAATCTATGACAGTTTTGAAATGCAGAAACACTCTGAAAACATTAAGCCTTGCTGGGTTCATAACACACAAAAAAAAAAAAAAACAGAAAAACAAGTCAAAATGCAGCTAAATTCGGGCAGAACTTTTAATACCCTCCACCATTTTGAAGCATCTAGAATAATTTCGAACTTCAAATACGAAATTTGAAACAATTCCGTTGAATAATGTTGCTAAGATCATCAAAATACCGGATAAAGGGATGTACCGTCATATGTGAGCTATACGAAGACGTGGACCTGCATAGACAATTTTCTGGCATAGGTTTTAATGTTAAAAATTTCTGTTTTTCGACAATAGCCCATTTAAGGATTCTCAATATTATTTTATTTAATGTGGAACTTGTGAAGGAAAACCTTAACATTTTTGAAAAAATACCCTGTGTTTTGCTATGGCATTATTAGGCTATGAATGACTTTGAATAATCTAATCTAGAATCAGGCATGAGATGGAAACATGATCGAGATTCGAAGTGAATAAAAATGATTTCTTTTTCTTAACACTGTTATTCGGATTAAAAAGATTGTTAAAATTTTACAATTTTATATTAAAATTTATATATAATTCTACTCGATTTCCCTCAAACACCTGATTGGACAGTTCGATCCTCAGTATATACATGAAACACTAACTAAAGGTTATGTATAAATTATTTTTGTTTTCACAACAAGTAAATTCTAGTATTATTTAAAATATATAAATTTGTTATTTTCAACATTAGAAGATATTAATTTTGGTTTGATTTGTTCCTTTTTTAGTAAATTTATGTATAAATACAAAAAGAAAACACAAAAATACACAACCCATATCAATGTTGACATTGAAGATCAACTATTTTGTTTTGACTCATTTTAAAATAGCTATCATATTTTGGCATTAGGTATTTGAATTCATCACATTGGTTTTCTTTAGATATATCGTTTTGTTTTTTAAACGTTGAATTTTCCATTTACAAATACGTTTTAGGTTTTTTTCTTTTTGGTAATAGTTGATGGCCGGCATCAAATTATTTTAAATGAAATGTTTTTTTTTTTTTCATTACAAACTTAAATAATAAAAACAAATAAAGAAAAGTATATAAAATAAAAATTTAAAATTAAAATATTGCACTTCTTTGTTTTTTGTTTAATTTTTATAATCTTTTATAAATTATCATCATTTTTGTCATTGAATATTTTTTTATCACGTAATAAATAAATGTATAAAAAAAGGTAAAAAATAAAAAAAAATAATGTTTTCATTTAGTTGATATAGATATTGTAGTAAAACTTCTTCAGTCTTTTGAAATTGTGTTTTAAGATTATTTGATTAATATCACATAATAGACGTAAATGTTTGTTTCATTCATTTGTACCTTGATTTTGGAATCGTTTCAGTAGTAAATTCTTTATCTTTGGTTTGGTATTGTTCTTAAGCCCATAAAATTTTTTTTGTTTTGTTTTTTAGGTTTTTGTTCACTTATCACAGTCTCATTGGTTTTCAAAATAGTTGTTTCATTTTTGCATTTGTCTTTTGCATTGTAAATATACTTCATATGCATTGCATTTCTTCGTTCAATAAAATTCTGTATGTTTTGGGTTTTGTTTTAAACTTTAGTTTTTTTTGTCATATTGTAATTTTATTTTATTATTATCTTTGATGATAAATTTTAAAATATAAAGCAAATGTGTAATATTTAAATATTATTATTATTAAATAATAGCAATTAATTTGCTGTATCATAATATAACATGCGTTCAAGTTGAAATTGATCTGCAAAAAAATATTTTTAAATTAATTATTTATGCTTATAAACTAAACCTTGGACTTCTGTTTTCGTTTTATTATTTTTAATTAGCAAATGTATATGCTATTTAACTTATTTTTATTAAGAAAATATTTTTTGGAAGAGTTGTGGTTATGAAAAGAAATACTTAAAAGAGGGACTATCAATGGAAATTTAAATTGATTATTATTTGATTTTAAGAAAACTGTTTTTATTTTTATTTTATTTTATTTATTTATTTATTTTTTTTTTTTTTTTTGGGATTAAAAAAGTGAGAAATGTCCTTCATTCCAAAGACAAAGCTAAGCCATTACACAAGTACAGGGTGAGATGAAAAAACTGCAACCAACTTCAGACTGCTGTCATTTCTAAGCCACTCGTCCGACAGCTGTTAAAGTTATTCCAGTGACAGATCATTATGTTGTTTATAAGCATATAAAAGCATTCTGGTGAGAATTTTCCAGAAAAAAAGTTATCCGTGAAGGAATTCAACCGTGATAGTGTGATTTATTTATATTTTTGGCGAACATATCGCAATGTTCCATTCGGCAAATATTAAAAAATGGGCTCGGGGTAAAGCCATTAAAATTCCAAAAAGTGCAAGAACTTACACCCCAACAGAGAGAACCGAAAATAGACTCAAAAGAGCTAGAGTTGCTTCGCTTCGCTTGGCCGAAAGTGGTGAACTGCCGAATTTGATTTTCTCCGATGAGACGACGTTGTCCAGCAGTTTGTAAACAAATAAAATGATCGTGTTTACTTGCCAAAGAAGTCAGCTGAAAATGTTCACCAAAACTCAAGCGCCGGCCATGGTGATGGTGTGGGCCGCCATAACAGCCAATGTTCGCTCTCCGCTCATATTAATTTACAGTGGCATCAGAATAAATACCGCATATTATCGCGAAAATATTCTAGAGGGTGTATTAAAGCCTTGGGCACGCAAACATTTTGGCCGCAGACCTTGTACATTCCAACAGGACTCAACACCATCGCACTCAGCACGCGGCACCCAAGAATGGTTACAAAATGAGGTTCCTCGCTTCATTTTCAGCGCACAATGATCAGCAAAATCTCCGGATACCAATCCGTTGGACTATTGTGTCTGGAGTATTTTAGAAAGCAAGGTTGGCACTAAAAATACCAAATTGTCGATCACCTCAAGCAAGCGCTTCTCCGAGAATGGGCCAAAATACCGCTGAGCAACATTCGGGCAGCGTGTGACGGTTTCATTGGCCGTTTGAAGGTCATAATTCGTGCCAAAGATGACCAATTCGAACAAATCTAAACTTATTCTAAAATTTGAAGCTATTTCCGAAATTTTTTGCTTTCATTAAAAAAATTAAAAAATGTCAAAATTATGGCATTTGACTTTGTTGCATTTTTGACTTGTCGTTTTTAGTGAGACACATGACTTTTGATTTAGTCGCCGGAAACAATCAGACAATATTTGAGTAATAAACTTGTATTGGCAGGGATCACCCAGGAGCGACGAGGGAAACTCTTAGTACATCCAAATAAAAAATGGGCCGCATACCAATTTTGTCAGAACGATTTTAATTTCTGACATGCTCTATATCCACCACAGTTGGGTACAGAACGCATCTTCTCTTGGAAGTTGGCAGAGCTGCAACCTCCACACAAATCTGCTACTCAATATATTCACAAAAAACGTCAATGAAGAGCGGCATGTAGGGAACCCTCGGAAGAACTTGGCTTTGATTTCGATCCATTTCAGATAAGGAAAATGTTGCTTGGTAATTTTAATGCACTTTATTTCCGAACTCCTTCAATCCTTAATGAGATCCGAATGAAATATTGCTTTGGTACGGATCATATCTATTTTTCTCTTTTCACTTTTAACTCAATTAAAAAGATTTTGAACTGAAATAAATGTTGTTACAATTTTAAAATTCAATTAAATCAATTAAATTACAATTTTCATGATAGTCCATCTTTTAAACATTAAGGGTCTGTTTCTCCATGACGATATGGAAGTGAACTCGAATTAAAAAACACCAATTCCAGTAGTGGAATTCTATAACTCATTTTTTGAGTTACCAACAAAAGTCGGTCAAATTAAAATGCTTATAATTTCAGTAATTAAGGAAATTATGGGTAAATCAAAGTGCCTACAGGTACATGCAAATGTTGCTAACCTTAACTTATTTTTAATATCAAACATTTGGGTTTAAAAGTAGCCGATTTTTGTTGTTAACTTAGAGACTCGCTCTACAGGAGCCTTTTTTTAATTATATAAAAACCAAACATAAATGGCATGAGTATTTTTTATTTTCAAGTTTACTTTCGCATTGTCATATCCAAAAAATGCCACGATTTTCGAAATACAACTCAAAATTAAAATCTTATTAAAGAAATTTCTTATTTCAAAATAAAATCTTTATGTTTCTATGCGCACATACACACACATTGTATTACATTTCAGATTATAATGCAATAATTGTTGTTTGGGCAGGGTGATAATTGTGTATGCATAGGATAGGTCTGGGTTTGGACTAAATAAAACAATAAAACTGTTTTGATTTTTAACTTAAAAAATATACAAAGAAAAATTTTTAATTTTTTTTTTCTTCTCATTTAATTGTGAAACAATAATCTCTTATTATTATTATTATTTATATATAGTTTTATTAGTGTCAAAATAAAATACAAACATTTATGTTGGAAGTAAAGGATAGAGTAAATAGATTTAGTATTGCATTGCCAAGTTTTTGAATGGGAAATAAAACGACAAGTTTAAGGAGGATAGCATCGGGGGAAAAGAAAATAGTCAATTTAGTAAAAAAATTACAAATTCTTACAGAATATATAGGCGAAGGAAAAAAAAAACAATTATAATTTTCTTTTTATCGACTGAGTGCAGGAGTTACTGCTTTGTCCATCATCAAAAAATTACGTTCTATGGTTAAATTTTAAAACAATATTATTATGGTTACCAACAACAACACATCCAAATGGTGTTGATTTGGTTGGTAATTTTTTTAAATTTCTAAATAAGAAAATATAATTTGGACACTTTTTTTAAGCTTACATTTTGAATTAAGGGATTTTTTTAAGGGATTAGAATTATTGGGGGATCATCATATCATCATCACTTGTATAATAAGTGTTACACATAATATATAATAATATATCAATAGATAGTACATATTATACTACTAATCTCTAATATTTTATATAAGATCTTTGTTGTTTCAATTTTTTAATGGTTTCAAAAATATCAGAAATGAAATAATTTCATTTACCGCTTTTAAGATCATGCATGTTGCAACAGACGATGAACAGACGTAGAGACACGTACCATCATAGCTGACACAACGAGGACGATGCTCCACCAATGCATTGAACGGCGACCGACGACTATTATTATATATAAGGGGGGTTATAATTATTTTGGTTGTTTTTGGCATTACTCAATGATTTTTCTTTTATATTTATATATATTTTGTTAATATATATTTTCATAGTTGATGGTAGGTTGGCTGATTGATTGGTTGGTCGGTTGGTTGATTTGCAGCATTCACTATCATGTGGTATTATGTTGTGTTGTTGTATCATCGACACGCACAGCGTATTTAGTGTTGAGAATAATAGCGTTGTATCTTATTATTATTATTATTTTTAATTTGTTTTTGTTTATAAACATCATTTGACTTTTTGACTTAATAATAGCCCGCATTTGAATAACTCTGCTGATATGACTGCGTGTCTGTGTTTTGTTGGAAGAGAGATACAATTTTTGGTTTTTTTTTTTTGTTATGACCGAAACACAGGAGGAAAGTTTTTTTATATTTACAATAAAAATAATAATTGTGTTAGTTTGCTTAAATTTTATTTTTGCTTTTCTTAAAACTAAAAATGTTTTGATATTGGTAAATGGTAAATAAAGACAGGTATAAAGTATTTTACTTTCCACAACAAAAAAATAAAAAATCAGTAAATTCGGCAGGGCCGAACTTTGAATACCCTCCACCATTTGAAACTAATTTGGCAATTTTCAAAAAATAAAATAAAATCCGTTGTTAAAATCTTAAAAATACCGAATGTATCCGTTATTTTAGGGTCTATATAAGACGACGTGGACCTGCATAAGCAACTTTTGCAACAAGCCATTACAATAGTTAAATGCGAAACTTGAAAAAAAAAAAAAATGGTGAATAATGTAGCTAAAATATCGAATATAGGGAGGTACCATTATATGAGGGGGCTATACCTGTACATTGTACCATTATATGAGGGGGCTATACCTGTACAGACAATTTTCAGTCTTAGGCTGTAGTATCCATTACGAACTTCAAATACAAAATTTGAAGCAATTCCGATGAATAATGCCCCTAAAATAATCAAAAAACCGAATATCGGGAGGTGCCGTTATATGGGGGCTATACGAAAGCGTGGACCTGCACGGACAATTTTCTGTCATAGGCTGTAGTATCCATTACGAACTTTAAGTACCAAATTTGAAACAATTCCGGTGAATAATATCGCTAAAATCATTAAAATACCGAAAATCGGGAGGTGTCGTTATATGGGGGCTATACCAAAACGTGGGCCTACATGGCCCATATTCAATACCGTAAGTCCTGCAGACATAATATACATTTGAATAAAATTTTATCCACCTATTTCATTTCGTTCGGAAGCTAGAGTGATTTCGACAAACGAACGGACATAGCTAAATCGACATAGAATTTTATGCTGATCAAGAATATATGGGGTCTAAAATGTATATTTCGAGGTGTTACAAACGGAATAACAAACTTAACATACCTTCCATACTGTGGTGGAGGGTATAATAAAAATGGTATACCTCTTTAACCTCAATTGCAAATCTTTCAAATGGGATATATACCAAAAATAAAAAATTACTATAATATATTAATTCTCTGATTTTTTAATGTTCTCTCCGAAAAAAAGGTCATTATGGCATCGAAACATGCATGCCAAATTATAGCATCTACTCTTACTTCTTAAAATGAGGGGGATTTGTGTCCGAATTGAATATATTTGACCAATGACTTCGAATGATAATCCTCAAAAGCACCAATATCTATACCGTTTGGAAAGCTTTACATTTTAGAATGTTTGAGATCAAACAGCCCCGGATATATGATTACACCTTGGCTACTCGGCTTGAATTTCTTGATCTAGAATTCCTCTGGCACACATATAATTCAATTTCAAACGGCCGGAAATAATTGACAGCATCAAATGCTTTATATAAGTGACATTGTAACAGCGCTTTTTAAGTACGGAAAATAAATTCTACAACGAATATCAGAATGGTTGGACAGTTGTCTGAGGGTTTTCTGAAAGTCCTTTCCCGTGTTCAACGAAATGCTTGTATTCACTTGTGGTTATCAAAAAAAATAGGTGCCAACAAGTTAGGACATAAAACATAAGATACCTTAAAGCCTTACTATGAATTATTTCCTGTTTGGTAAATCAAGCAAATATACAAGGGAGGACCTTTCAAACCTAATTTAAAAAAATGTTAGATTAACTTTGATCTCCTAATTCCCTTAATCCTCCATTCGTTATACATTTAATGCTAATCATGCTAATGACAGTTCTTGTGGAAAGTAATTTCTATTTTTTTATATTCAAGTAAAGAAAGAAATGTTTGAATGGTACTCACCATAGCCAGCATAGGCGCGTTCATCATATGTTTGCTGCGCGTGTTGAGAGTAATCTGCCTGAGATGTGTTATAATCAACAGCAGGCGCTCCATACTGTTGAGTATAATCTTGACCATATGTTTGATAGCGGGTATCTTGTTGACCGTAAGTTGAACTTAAAAAAAAAAAAAAACAACAAATTATATATTAAATAAATCTTCATATAAAAATTTTGGGACTAATACAATTTTACAATAAAGCCATACAATACAAAGTCTAATGAAATCGCTTCGTGGAAGAAAGTTATATAAATGTGCATATTTTGCAAAGTGTTTATGCTTTCGATTAAAAACAAATGAATGCACCTTTCACAATTGTTAAAAAGAAAAACCATATAATTTTTGCCTTACCTGTATCCTTGATATTGACTTTGATCATATTCAGCACTTGTATAGCCACTATTGGCCTGGTGTGTGGCTGCATGCGTTGGTGCCGGAGGATAAGTTGATGTCTGCGCATAACCATTATATGTTGTCTGTGCTTGTGGCGCAGCATACGACTGGGCATAAGGATCCATTGTTTGTGTGGCAACATGTGGTGGATAACCATGGTGGCTAAAATTACAAAAAAATATTAACATTTTTTCCATTTTATTGAATAAATTCTCATTTTTCTCTTACCTTTGTGGTGGTGGTGGAGCAGGTTGATGTGCCACACCATAATTTGCCGCTGGTTGTTGTGTCATGTGTGGAGGCTGATGATATTTTGGCGCAGGCGCTCTCTGGGAATATGGTCCGGATTCATAACGACCACGCTTGGGTCCTGGTGGGCCACCAGGAGCGCCGCGTTTCAGTGACATTGGTGCTGCCTGTGAGTTAGATGCATGCGGTTGTTGGTGCAGTGGGGGACGTGTCATACCAGCACCCTGGTACGCACCACGTCCTCTTGGTGGACCACCACGTCGCACCATACCGCCATGCTCTTGCATAGGAGCACCACCATGCATGGACATCATACCACCGGCGCTACCATTATGTGGATTATATGCTCCACGACCACCACCTCTTGGGCCACCTCGACCACGACCGCGATAATTTGGTGATGTACCCATTAGAGGTGGCTTACTACTAACCAACGGCGCTGTCGAAGCAGTCACCACGGCATTGGGATCCGCTTCTTGTGCTGACGCAGGTGCAGCAACCTCTGTTGCAGCAGCTGTATTATCTTCCTTTATGGCAACAACTTGATTGTTAGCTGATGCTTGCACCGGTGAGATAGTTTTATTGTTATCCACACCGGTGTGTTGTTTCGGCTCTGCAGCGTCCAAAAATGTTTCTAATCACATCAGTAGTTTTCATGTGTCTTAAAAGTGTATACTTACGTTGGTTGTACATTGGCATTCTACCGGTTCCTCGCATTGGTGGTCCACCTCGGGGTGCCCCCTGAAAACCACCCCTGCCAGAATATCCGCCTGGACCACCCATGCCAGGTGCTCCGCGCATTGGTGGCGCTCCTCTTGGTGCGAAACCTCCACGTGGGGGATAGCCCATCGGTGCGCCACCCATACCGCCTCCACGTGCTCCATAACCACCACGGGTTGAGAAACCCCCGGGTCCTCCCATGCCGGAAAATTGACCCCTACCCATACCCCTGCCACGACCCCGTTCAAATGAACCACGCATACCGCCGCGTCCACGTGTGGGAGCCACACCACCAGTTATAGGTGCCGTATCGACTGTTGTAGGAGCCTCCATAATATTTTTTCTTTGCTTTTAAGATCTACACACAATTTTTTCTAAGCTTCTTCTATGAATGCCCAACCAGCCGACGACGTTGCGGCAACTTTTATAGATTTAATGACTGATATTTACGCGACTTTTATTGAATGTTTTTACTGAGATGTATTTCTGACCTGATAAGCATTACTTTTTCTCTTTAAATCACGATTTAATAAAATACTTTAAATTTTTTCCTACAAAATAAAGATTTTTCCGCTTCTTATGTATACACTTTTTTTTGCATCTGTCGGGTGTTGCCAACCTCAAAGTTGTCGGCAAAATGGCGTCGCTTTGCGAGCCGAGCTATCATTTTCAGTGATTGTCAGATGACACATGATGACATCAAAGCAGATGATTAAAATGGCCGTTATGACAATTTCAAAATTTGAAGCTATGTTTACATTCACTAAAGGAACTTACTTCTACCAATTCTTCCCGGCGCCTGCTAAACAGCCCTGGTTCTTTTCATCAAACATGAAACCTGAAAACATAAAGATTGTTAATCGATTGCTCACTGGTCATACTTACACCAAAAAATATTTCCACAGGATTGGAATTGCTGACTCAAATCTTTGTGAAACCTGCAACGAAATTGAAGATGAAAAACACATAATTTTTTTCTGCAAAAAGCATCAAAATCATAGGAATGATTTTGATTTGTTCAAGAAATTTAATAACTTACCGGAAATCCTGATGTCCAAAAACCAACAAAATATAGATGAATTAATCAACTTTATTGCACTTTGCAAAATTGAAGTTTGACTTTTATTTGTAAATAATCATCATATTTGCTGACAGTTCTTTATTTTTTCCTTTAGTTTTGATTTTTTTTTTGTTTTGATTTCTTATGTATTTCATTCATATCACTACATTCTGTAAACACACATATACTGTAAACAAAAAGAAAACGAAAATAAAAGAGTACTGATACTTTTCAAGTAACCAATAACCGGTCATGGTGAATGGGCACGAAAGTGTTCTAACCACCAACATACTTGACGACGTAGAAGTACAAAAAAAAAAAAAAAAAAAATGTTTACATTCGCGACCTATGAATAAATCGTACAGTAAAGGTGTGGTTGCGTAGCGTATGCTATCATTTTCTGTGATTGTCAGATGACACATGAAGCCATCAAAGCAGATGATTAATATGGAAGTAATGGCAGTTTAAAAATTTAATGCTACGTTTACATTTCCGTCCCTTGAACAAGTCGCACAGTGAAGGTGTGATTGCGTAAGAAGCTTAAAGCGTAGATATTTCATATATGAATGCCAGTCCTGCCGTCCCTTTTTCCTTATAGTTTGACATTCATATTTCCTTGCAGAAGGTCACCAATGTAAATGAACACATGATTTTCAACACCAATTGCCTTTATATTTGCTTTTTTTGATGCACCAATTTTGTCCATTTATTGTATTATCTTGTGGTTGTATATGTTTACCTAAACAAACATCAGTTGAGTGGCATTTATATCCTCCTAAGGGTGGATATGGGTTAATCTGGATACAATTTGTATTTAAATGCTATAGTGGGCAAAACTTCCAAGCAATTCCAAAAAGTGTTGCCAGATTTGTACCTGCAGCAAACAACTAAACATTGAGGGAAAGGATATGAAAGCTATAAAACTAAACATATTAGATTTATCTATTCTGCATTTTGAATTCAATTATTGGTCTGTTCCAGAACTTTAAGAAGGTAAACGTTTTCACTACGATAACCGATTTTCTCTTTATTATATCCAAGGTACAATTACTAAGGTAATCTCATGCTATCATACGATCACAATTTTTTCTTTTTTGTCCCTTCACTGTCAAATTTATATTTTGTAGTTCTTCCTTAAATATGGGCATATGCAGGCAAGAATTTTTCAATAACTTTAGACCAAATATTTTGTTGTTTTCGCACCTTTTAGAGGGTATAAAAGTCAAGTTAGAATATAATCTAAAACAGAACAGTAAACTATTAGTCCGATAAGTCATGTAAGCCTTAATTTTGGAATGGTTGAATGTAACCAAGCCAAGGGAAGAGTATGAAGACAATATCACAATTTGTTTTATACAGGTAAAAGGTTGTCGTCTCCCATTTTTAGTCGAATTGGCATTAAATGCGTTACAAGAAATTGTTAATGTGAGCTTTCGTTTCAGTACAGAATGAATATAGCAGTTATTGTCAAGATTTTGGCAACATTTGTCAGCTGGTAGTTCAGCAGATTTGATTCTTAAATTCAGACCTAAAGTAAAACCTAATTTGAGACCTACACAAGAACTAGAATCACCGAAAACGTTTCCTAAAAATGAAGGGTTTAAAATATTTATACATTTATTATTTTTGTAAAATCTGTCACAAGTCATGCGAAAATATTTTAGATATGAAAATAGATTTTGCCATGCCATGTTCAATTTAGCAAATGAGTTTACCTACCATGAATGATATCGAAGAAAATTGCAAATCTAGTAGATTCTTGCAGGTACTGGAACAGGACAAATATAACTTCCAAATATTTTTAAATAAAATAACTTATTAAAAATGTATGCAATTTTTTGTTCATATAACTTTGACAATAGCATTACTTATAATAAAAATTTTCTATTTTAGTTTTGCTTCAGACTTATATATGACGTCATTCGATTTTCAACATTTTTACAAAATTTAAATAATTTTTCATTCAACATTTTCAATTCCAAATTTGGTTTGACAGTTCATGGTCCCAGCACCTATGTCGATGCGTCTATCTATATTCTTCTATCATGTAAAATCCACTCTATTTATAAGATATGTACATGTTTTCGCTAGCGTTCAAGTCCCAACTCTCAAGTGAATCAAACGGTATCTAGTTCCTTTGCTCATCTAGTGAACAGCTCACAGCACTGGCGAAAACATTAATTCACAATGGCATGCATTTTGACAACAGAGAAATCAGCTGGTCTTATCGGTCATGGAAGATGTGTGGTATGGCCCGACCATAAAGTCCCCCTTGCAGATTAACCAAATTTATAATTGTGAATGAAATCACATAGCAAAAGATAAACAAATACCAAATACCATAATTTTGAGGTATTAAATCTGATTTAGTGTCCTATAGTCGAGTGTATCGTGTTGTTTGTCCATGAAATGCCAGGAAAAGTTGCTGTAAAAATTAAAGCTGGCAGGAATCTGCCAGTGATGGACAAATCCTCGGATACCACCGACGCCTATGTAGAAATAAAATTGGGGAATGTGACGCACAAAACGGATGTGTGCAGAAAGAGTTTAAATCCTATTTTCAATTCTGATTGGTGAGTAGCAGAGCGAGCGAGCGTAATGGTCAAGACTTCTTATCTTGACAAAAGATAATCTTAACTAGGAGATAAACCATATAACGTTAGCCTCTATCTATGGTGGTCAGCATAGATTTGGCAAAAAAATCATTTTATTATCAAATATGAAGGTTTGACACCCTCTCTATATCACACTTGCTTGTAGGTTCCGTTTTGAGGTGGACGATGCTGAGCTTCAAGATGAAATACTGCAGATACGTCTCATGGATTATGATACCTATTCGGCCAATGATGCAATTGGTAAGGTGAATATAAGCCTAAACCCTTTGTGCTTGGAAACATCGGGTCAAAGTCATGGCAAGGGCACAGTGCTATCTGGATGGATACCAGTATTCGATACAATGCATGGCATACGGGGCGAGGTGCATGTCATTGTTAAGGTCGATTTATTTTCCGATGCTAATAAATTCCGTCAAAGTTCATGTGGCATACCGTTTTTCCATTGTAAGTATGGGAAGGCAGTTGATTAAATGGATCTATATAATATATGCTTTCTGTGAACTAGCTCCCTGTATACCCACCGGATATCGGGCCCAAGTTATACATGGCTTTGTAGAAGAGTTGGTTGTAAATGATGATCCTGAATATCAATGGATTGACAAGATTCGCACGCCACGTGCATCCAATGAGGCCCGCCAGGTGGTCTTTCTTAAACTGTCTGGTCAAGTGAGTTGAAGGAAAAATAAATTTTATGGGTTTAGTTTTTAATTGTGTGTGCTTCCAGGTCCAACGTAAGATGGGTCTTAAGGCCATAAACATGGGCGCCAATGCTGTCATTGGTTATACCCAGTGTTTTGATTTAGAGGGCGATGTTGGTGTCGTTGCCCGTGGTGTTGGCACAGCTGTTACTTTAATAAAAGATACCACAAATCAACCAACCTCTGCGGACAGTGCTTTAATCGAAGAGTGAGTATTTTTGTTATGGAAGATGAAAGCAGAAGAACTGAGAATTGGCATATGATTTCACATTAAGTTTCGAAATATGGGTTCTTCAATTTGCGATGCGTTGAGAGACGAGACAAAATCTGAAGTAGCCACGAAAGAAACAATGAAGTTTTTTTTATGAACTTTTTGTTGGAAAGAATTTAAACGTGGCTAAAGCTTGCCTATGTAAATGCCTATCGTATTCCCATTTTTCATGGGGGCAAATAGAGTCACCAGATGTCGACAGCTAGTTTCGACTACCAGTAGTGCGATTCTGTAACTATTTAATGACAGTAACACCAATTTTTATTTGTTTATAATTTCGGCAAATTAAGAAGTTTGCCCTAAATTGGAAAAAGTTTCAGAATCCCATTAGAAATTGGTTTCTGTAGTTCGATTTAAATTTCCACATTGGCATTGCCTCGTCTCTGGCTCTGGAAGACCCATAGTAAATACAAAATAAGAGTAAATTGCAACATTTCGTATTCCCCCCTTCTTGTTTAGTCTTAAGCTTTTTCGCAACAATTACTGTCGTCAATAATGAGACAATTTCTAACCAGTTTTCTTTCGATTTGTCTTTTTCAACCAACCAATCAATCGTTCAAATCGTAAAATAACCCACTAATGTTTACACATTTTGTTTTAATACAAATCGTTTCGTGCCTAACTCCCATACCAAACGCCGTCTCCATTGTTTGTTTCTGTTGTTGTCGTCGTCGCTGTGCGAATAATGTTTTGCTTTTTTTTTCCTTTTTTTATTCACAATTTTTGTAGACGCACTCTTAAGTATTTAGAATTTCTTAGAGGCGGTAACTTTAGTACTGCCAATCGATCCCAACCAACCTCCTACTCCACACAGTCTTTGAACAAATTAAATTTCGAAAAGATGACAATGAATGGCAGGGGCGACGACTGTTCGGACTCGGATACTGAACATAGTTCGAATTTAATGTTGAATCTTATTAGACAAGAAGAGGGTCGCGGTGATAGACCTTTGAAAAAGTTCACCCATAAAATGCGTAACTTGACAAGTTCTTCACGTAATATCTTTGGCGATAAATGTGCCTCGTTGATGCGTAAAATCGATGAGAATTCCTCTTCGAGTGGCTCACGTTCTCTAAGTGGAGCCATTTACTTTCCGGGGAAAAGTCTTAAAATCCGTTCGGAATCCAATTCGATGTTAGATGTACGTAAGCCGCCCGCATGCCATCGCTGGGTTAGCAACAGCGATGTGGAAAAGGAGAATAAAAAATCAAAGGGTCTTCAGAAAACAATTCATCCCATTGTTCGTTCTGTCAGCGATGACTCCGCCATGAAACAATCATCCACACAATCGGAGGCTCGTAATAATCGGAATAAACACAAATCAGACATCTATGTGGAATCAGAGTGTGCCATTAATACACAACCCACAACAATGTTTAGCAAAGAAGATGATGTCATGGAGGGCACACATGATGATGAAAAAGTCGTTGCAAAAAGTCCTCCACAGGTTGTTTTCAAATGTTTATAATTTAGAAAAAGCAAAATCCCTCGAATTTTTATTGTTTCAGAATCAAAGTGACAATCCTGCCATGGAAATTTGTGGCACTCCCTCCTCATCTCGATGTTGTTTATCGCAAAACGATTTAGCTTATCTAACCAAGAATTATAGCTCTAACCCCGTTGTCTTGCACTCACAATCTCTAAACAATTTAAATGCTCCCATAACTGCCTTGGCTGCTGTTTGCTCCAATAAAAACAAACGTGCCTATTGTCGTCCAGCCTCCATAATACTTAACGAGAACAATGAGTTTTGTAGACACCCCATACTTAAACTATGTCCCTCCACGCCCACTCCCTCCGAGTCGGATAGTTTAGCATCTCCTTGCAGTAGTTGCCGGGCCGCAAACACAGGCTCCCATCCATCAACACCAAATCCAAACAATTTATTTAGTTTTTCGACCACACTCAGTGATCCGGAACATTTGAATCAAAGTTGCAATTTTTTACGATTTCCTTCTAATCAAAATCAAAATAATGCGAAATTTGTTGCCTCTAGCCTAAATGAAAATACTACTAATGTTAGTAATGCCCAAAACTCATTGCTTGTACCATTCATTTCTAATAATAATAATAATAATAACAATAATAACGCTGGAATCATCATCACCACCAAAAACCATCAATGTCAGCACAGATCCCTAAGTGAAATCGCTGCTGGCAGTAGTAATCATTCAAATAATAGCAGTCCCCACACTAAAGGCCAACATGTATCGCCTGGCTCAGCCATGATGAATGCCGATGACGATGTTTCGGCCGCTAAGCTCAGCACCATGAACACAAATGCCTCCACTACCAGCACCACTACTATTCCTTCCAATGTTGTAGCCAATCGCAGTAAACTAACACCCAGTCCAACACGTTCTGGTGTTGTAGCCACACCAGCTAGCATACAGTCACAATGTGATAGTTTATCATCAGCTACCACCATATCAACGGCCACCACAATAATACCCAAGGAAATGGGGGAAATGTGTAGGCGATCTTCGGACTCGGATTTGAGTGTGACACCAAAAGGTAAGATCAGTACTTAAATTACAAACCTCATAGCTAAAAGGGGGATGTTTGTAATAAAAAAAGCAAACCAACCCAATCACTGTAGTCATTCAGTAAAAAAAAAAACGTACGCCATTTTCAATCATAATGTACAAAAAAAAAAAAATGGATTAACAAAATTCAAACTTTGAAAATCATCCGTTACTAGGTTTTGGAATTCTTTTGTTTGTATATTTTTCCCAAGTGTTTTGTTTCTGTAATAAGTCTCTACATAGACACCAAAACATTGCAAATTATCTTTTACTATTATGTTTATTATTATTATTATTGTGTATGTATATTCTTCTGCCATGCTCTCACCACTGATATCACATTTGAATATTCGAAAGTTGTACAACGTAAAAGTAAGTAAAATTCGATTTCATCAAAATCGAATATGTGTGCTGGTGTTTTCTCTATTCTACATATTTTTGCTCTCTTTTATAAAAAAAAAAAACAAAACAAAACTACAACCCAAAACTCTATAAAAATCAAAACAACTCTTGGTGTTATGTGTGTATGTACTTTTTATCTAAATATATCTCTCTGTAACGTACATACTACCTAGTACACCCGATACAGAATACCATTGGATATTTAGTGTTGTAATCCTTTTTTCCGTTTTTTTTTCTTTTTGTTGTATTCCAACACACTGCGTAACATGTTATACACAAATGACCCCTTTTACATAAATGCTCTGTTCCAGAACTGTAAGAATATAAAAATGTTTACTACAATAACCGATAATGATATGGGAAAAATTGCAATAATAGTAGATTTTTGCAGGTTCTGGAACAGATCAAATGTACATGTGTATGCAATCCAAACTACAATATTCGAACTTAACATAAAAGCTCTGAATTAGAGATAAATTTTTCGACAGCACCTTTTGTACAGTGAAATGTTGTCGATAACAACTTTTCCACAGAGAAAAGTTGTCGATTACAACTTTTCGACAGAGAAAAGTTGTCGATTATAACTTTTATTCAGATAAAAGTTGTCGATAACAAATTTTCAAAAGAGAAAAGTCACCGATAAATAAATAAGTTTTCGATAACAACTTTTCTTCAGAGAAAAGTAGACGATAACAACTTTTCCACAGAGAAAAGTTGTCGATAACAACTTTTTTACAGAGGAAAGTTGTCGATAACAACTTTTCTGCAGAGAAAAATCATCGATAACAACTTTTCAAAAGAGAAATGTTGTCGATAACAACTTTTCTATAGAGAAAAGTGGTCGATAACAATTTTTCTACAGAGAAAAGTGGTCGATAAAAACTTTTCTACAGAGAAAAGTTGTCGATAATACCTTTTTTCAGAAAAGTTGTCGGTAACAACTTTTCTACAGAGGAAAGTTGTTGATAACAACTTTTCTACAGAGGAAAGTTGTTGATAACAACTTTTCTACAGAGGAAAGTTGTTGATAACAACTTTTCTACAGAGGAATGTTGTTGATAACAAATTTTCTACAGAAAAAAATTGTCGAAAACAACTTTCCTATAACGAAAAGTTATCGATAACAACTTTTCTACAGAGGAAAGTTGTCTATAACAACTTTTCTACAGAGAAAAGTTGTCGATAACAACTTTTGTCCAGAGAAAAGTTGTCTATAATAACTTTTCTATGGAGGAAAGTTGTTAATGACAACTTTTCTACAGAGGAATGTTTTGGATAACAACTTTTCCATAGAGCAAAGTTGTCGATAACAACATTTCCACAGAGAAAAGCTGTCGATAACAACTTTTCTATAACGAAAAATTGTCGATAACAATTTTTCTATAACGAAAAGTTGTCGATAACAATTTTTCTATAACCAAATGTTGTCGATAACAATTTTTCTATAACGAAATGTTGTCGATAACCACTTTTGTCGAAAATTTGTCGATAATTACATTTCTCTAAAGAAAATTTGCAGATAAAAATTTGTTGAGTTAAGATCGATATATTGTTTAGAGAGTGAAATACTTTCAATGTTTTGATTTTTGTCTCTTTGTGATTGATAATATAACTACTCCCAATAATTCAAAACTACTACTCTTATACAGCATGAGGGCTATGGTGTGAAGTAACGTATGCTTATGTTTTACTAATTTTCCATTATTTTTTGTGTATTAAAGTAAAATGAATTTGGAAGATCATTTTAAAACATATAACGATACATATATAGTTCGTTTGTATATAGAGTGGGTCATAAAGCTGTTTATAGTTGAATATTTTTATTTTTATGATAAATCAAAAAATTGAGTGAACTATAACAAATGATCTGGAAATGGAACATTTGAATGTAAGAATAGAATACCAAATATTCCTACTTCTGCTCAAAAATGTTAAATAAGGAAAGATTCAAGTATTGTTTTGGTAAAAAAAAAATACCTTTATGACCTATTTCCGTGTAGAATGTAGTGTCTTCTTATTGCATCCATCCATTAAAAAAATACACCATTCATATCATTAATCCCTTCACAAATAGAAAAAAACCGCCCAAACCAACCACCATTATTCAGGGCTACATCCTTTTATTCTTCAAACCTTTATTACATGTCAGTATCCAGCTATATTCTCCCGCAAATTTCCACATAAAGACACAAAATTCACGTTTCCACTTTGTACGTTTAGGAAATTCATTTTGTGTGGCCAGCGATCGTTTGATGGCAGCAACGGCAATGATGCGTATGGGACAAACCGTCGTTGGTAAGAATGCAACCGGTGAGGGTATGGATATGTTGGAGTATCCATTCTTAACCATGACAAAATATCCACCGGGACTTATATTACATATTGGAGCTACGGTAGCTGCCCGTTCGGTCAAGTTATTGGAACGCGTACCAAATCCAGATGAGCCTGAAATACGAGATTCTTGGTGGACTGAGTTGCGTATGGAGATACGTTCACATGCCCGTTCACTGGGCTGTAATGTAGTACTTGGCTATTCGGAATCGACCACAATTTCGTAAGTAATTTCCGCTTTTTTGGAAATCATAACCTTAAAAATTCCTTGTGACATTTAAGTGATGATGTGTGCGTTCTTTCGGCAACTGGCACAGCAGCTATTATCAATATGGGCTACAATCGTTCCATATCCCAGAGCGATATTTTCAACATTGCCAAGCCCTCCGGGGGTAGTGTTATGTCTGCCTCTCTTGAGGAACGAAATATGGGCAGCAGCGAGGTGTCTGGCAAAGATTCGGGTACCATTTCAAATGGTTCCGCTGGAAAGAGATATGGTTTTCCCTCAATCATGTTAACACCCAAAACATCCTGCACAATTTGCCATGTTCCCTACAATGCCAACTCCATGCCGTTTAGTGTTAAAATGAAGAAATGTGCAATATGCGGCAAAGGTCGTGTTCCCGATGTGCTATTGGCTACCTTAGAGGTACCAGATTGTATACAAGTTACAGGTAAGAAAACCCCATACTTACACCCACCACGAAATACAGGAAAATCATATATTCCATTAGGCCGTGGTTGTTTCCTACAGGCTCAAGTTGTACGAGCCAAAAAGGACTTACGATCCGAATCCAATGCAAAGGAGATATCCGATGGTCTGCCCTTTCTGGAGTATGAACTACATCGTGTGCTCATCAACAAGCTCAAGGCAAAGGGCATGAATGCAATATTCGGTTTAAGAGTACAAGTTTCGATTGGCGAACGTATGCTTGCCCTGGTTGCCACGGGTACAGCTCTGTTTATCACAGCCCTACCAGTACCACAAGTTCCGAAAATAGTTGCAGGCAATTCTTGGACGGACAAACAGAAACTAAACGAACTGCAAAAGAAATTGCAAGAGACCTTTGAGCGTTATCAGGACATATATCAATTGAAGCCATTGGATCAGGAAATGTTGGATAAAAGTTCCGACACGGATGAATCCGATGAAGAAGGCGTCGATATCGATTTGAATTGCGGCAATAAAGATACATGTGTCCTTGAAGTAGATGATATCGAAGATTTAGAGATTATTTCGTTGCTAATGGAACAGCAGCCACCGGAAGGATTTCACGTTGTGAGCACTGAAAAGGTGCCGGGCATGATGGACATGGAGGCGGTGAAAAATTTACAAATGTTCACACAGGTGTGGAGGGCCAAGGCGGATGGTGGTCAGAGTGTTAGTGGATTTCCAAAACATTTTCAAAGGTAAAGAAATGTTTTGATAATGATTTTATGTTGTAATTGATATTGTTCCCCTATAGAAAATGCGTTATGGATAATTTGCCTGTAGATTTTTTCTATTAGATTTCGATAACAGGCCACTTGTGTGTAAAAAATTATTATCGACAACATTTTGTTATAGAAAAATTGTTATCGACAACTTTTTGTTTTAGAAAAGTTGATATCGACAACTTTTCGCTATAGAAAAGTTTTTATCGACAACTTTTCGCTATAGAAAATTTGTAATCGACGACTTTTCGTTATCAAAATTGTTATCGACATATTTTCGTTATAGAAAAGTTGTTATCGACAGCTTTTCGTTATAGAAAAGTTGTTATCGACAGCTTTTCGTTATAGAAAAGTTGTTATCGACAGCTTTTCGTTATAGAAAAGTTATTATCGACAATTTTTCGTTATAGAAAAGTTGTTATCGACAATTTTTCGTTATAGAAAAGTTGTTATCGACAACTTTTCGTTGCAAAAAAGATGTTATTGACAACTTTTCGTTACACAAAATTTGTTATCGACAGCTTTTCGTTACAGAAAAATTGTTATCGACCACTTTTCGTTATCGAAAAGATGTTATCGACAACTTTTCGTTATATTAACGGTATTTATTCACTTTTTTTGCTTTTTAGACTATTGCAGACAATATATTTTAAATTGCGTACCATGATTCCCTGTGCCATTTGTGATTTAAGATTTAAACTGGATTTTCCAGAGAGTGTAAGTGCCATACCAATATTAATAAATTAATTGTTCACAACATATTTAATATTATTATTTTTTAAGGATCAAATTCAAATTTTAGTGACCGGCATGGCATTGGGTTTGGGTGATCCTAGTAAGGCCAAACCACGACGTAAAACAGTATCAAATGGTCAGATGGTGGATGGTGCGGCAAATGCTATGTCTGTTTTACAACAGCCGCACAATCATCAAACTATTGATCAAAAATCGACTTGTGATGAGGATTATATATTCCCATTGGATGAGGACCAAATGGTGGAGACACCAACACCAGCCACAAATATACCAATGTTCGGTGCGCAGCTCTTTAAAAATCGCAAAACTTCGCCAATACAGTTGACGACGACTCCTGGTGCACTTAAACAAAGATTTGTATGTATAAATCACGAAAAGAGACATGTATATTTTTTTAATTCGTCATTTTCTTCTAGAACCGTATGTGTGATCGCAATGGCGTGGATATTACGCCTATGACATTTATACCCGGCGGAAAAATTGAAAAATATTTGGGAAATTTAAACTTCTTCTTTATACGCGAGAGTACATCTATAAGAGAAAACGGTGGCATAAGTGGTTTTGTACATGGCTTTATAACAGAGGTATTAAAGTAGAATTGTAATTTACCTTATATCTGTTTATAAATTTTCTTTCAACTTGTAGCTCTTGGCAGTAGTACGAGCCCACATTGCTTCATTGGGTGGCAATGCTATGGTATCATATTATATAAATGAATTAATTTTATTCGATAATCAGCATAAAAATCAGGTACTTTTAAATTTAACAAAATTTAACAAAGAGACACCTACTAAAAAATTTGACTTCTATTTTAGGGCCAATGCCTAATAAGTATTGGTGGTGACGCTGTGTATGTCTCATATCAAAATGATGAGTGATTTTGCTGGAAAAAATGCTGAAAACTACGTCAATCATCACAATCAAACCCAACAAACAGATTTCCCGCAGTTATGCAGAATTTTGCAATATTTACTTATATAGCTAGTTTGTTTCTCTCTCTTTCTCTCTATTTAAAATCTGTAACTTGTCTCTCTATTTTTTTAATTTATTTATTAACACTTTTAATTAAAAAAAATTTTTGTTATAAATACTATACGAACGTGCATTGAACGGCATAATACTATACTAAACTGTGACTATACATAGAATGTACTTAAAAAGGTGCATTAACAAAAGTAAACAAATTATATGTTATTTATTATATTTTTTTTCACTGAAACTATGAGTTTCCAATAGATAGTATAAAATGCGTGTTATTTTCTTTATCATTTGTGAGTCATTGTAGCCCCTCGGGATTTGGCAATAAAAAAGCAGCCCAATTTTATTTGAAATTATAATGTGTGGAAATTTAATAAAATTCTTCTTTTGAAGGTGTATGGGCGAAAAGCAATGATAAAGCTTCATTGCCCATTGAGTGGAAATTACTGACAATGACGACAAACGCTAACGTTGTAATTATCAGGCATGTCACAGAAGTTTTACGAAATCGATTTATTTCACCTTATCCAAATCGTTACGATTTGCTTTTGCTTCTTCAGCACTCGATCGTTTTGACTAATCCGGAAAAAAAATCATTTCACATTTTTGAAATAAAAATATGGTAACTCCATGAAAAAAAAAATCGTAAACAAATTATTGACAATTAAAAAAGGAGTTTGAATTGTTTTTTATAATATAAACACCAAAAGTAAAAATGCCAGGGGCTTCAATACTTGCTGTAAATGATGATGTAATGAATAAATCAGCGGTCTACTGAAAAAATTCGTCGCCGGACATTGAGGAACGCATCAGATCCTTTATCTCACTCAAATGCAGAGTAAGGATCCACCATTTTTAGTCCATTGTGTAAAATAATGTAAAGTTAAGAACGAGTCGTATTTGCTTTTTCCTGTTCTACAGCTTATTTAAGAGTTTCAAGTTCAACTATTTTGACTTTCATTTCGTTCCGTTCACGCATTCTCTTTTGCATTTCAATATTATGTAACTGCTCTTCCACATACTTTTTTCCAGGATGTTACAAAGTCTGTCCAACTTTTCAGTTTGTTTTTTCATTTCCTTACTGTTACCTTCTAGAATTTTACAAATTTTTTCCAAGTTTTGTAAATGAGAATTTTCCTCAACTAAAAGCGCATTTAGATCTTGCTTTGAGGGAGTTCTTGCCCGGGGTCTTTTTACTGCAGGCGTGGGTTTTGCTTTTGTTAGGCTGCCCGACACTTGTCTTATTGGTGTAGATGGCGGAGAACACGATAAGCTTTTATTTCTAAGTCGTTTTTGAATAGGTGTTCGCGAACGGTTTTCTTCCAATGTTGGTGTTCTTGGATCAATTGCCAATGTAGAAACATTTTTAAAAGCAGCTGGAATGCATGATCTTGGTCTATCTTTTTTATTTAAAATCGAAGTGGTCTGCTTTGAAGTTGAGGGTGAAAAATTAAGCTCTTCGTTTTCAGATTCACTTAAAACTAATTGACTTGATTTTCGAGTTCTTGGAATATGTGTAGATGATGACGAATCAAAGTTTTCTTTTTCAGAACAGCTGAGGTCTAATTCACTTACAAAATCCGCAAAGCTTACTGCACCACCAACTCCATCGACACTTTTATACAATCCGCAAATTCTGATTAAACTGTTCTCGTGTTCACTGAAAACATATTGATTGATATCACCACCACCAGTTCCTCGCAAGTCCTTTTTATTATTTTTCATCATGGATTAGAAAAATTTTTTGTAAAATAAATTCCAAAAACATGTTCATTCTAAGAGAATTTGGTTAATACAATATTTTCTGTTAAATGTATGTGTCTTCTGTTTATTTTTTACGTTAAAATCACTAAACATTTCAATTTCACCCCGCTTTTTGAAAGTGATATCAAAACGCAAAATTTTTGCGTTTTCCGTTTTTTAGAGAAGCTAAAACCGTTTTCGTTTTCACTCTTGAACGATTTTACATTCTGTGACATGCCTGTATGTTTACACTTCTCATAACCGAATACCCCCTTTGTTTGTAGCTTGATGATGATGTCATAGTCAAGTGAATGTCATTCTAAATAAGAAGAAGAGTAGTGAGTAATGTTTTTCTTTATGTTATGATCAGAGAACTCCGTTGTAAAATAATTTTTTAGATTTTCCTAATAATTTTATTCCCAATAAGTATAAACTAAAACCCCACTTACAAACATGGATTGGCTATTTGGTAAGAAAATCTCGCCCGATGAGATGTTGCGAAAAAATCAAAGGGCCCTCAACAAGGCAATGCGAGATTTGGACAGGGAGCGTATGAAAATGGAGCAGCAGGAAAAGAAAATCATTGCCGACATCAAGAAAATGGCCAAAGAAGGTCAAATGGATGCCGTCAAAATTATGGCCAAGGATTTGGTACGCACAAGACGTTATGTGAAAAAATTCATGTTGATGAAAGCGAACATACAGGCTGTGTCATTAAAGATACAAACTTTAAAATCTCAAAATACAATGGCTGAAGCCATGAAGGGTAAGAGGGAAACGATGAGTCTAGCATTGATCTTTACTAACTTGTTACAACATTTTTCTATTATTCCAGGTGTTACCAAAGCCATGCAGAACATGAATCGTCAAATGAATTTACCTCAAATACAGAAGATTTTACACGACTTTGAAAAACAATCCGAAATAATGGACATGAAGGAGGAAATGATAAATGATGCCATGGATGATGCAATGGAGGCGGAAGGCGATGAAGAAGAGACCGATGCTGTTGTTGCCCAAGTATTGGACGAGCTGGGCTTGCAATTGGGTGAACAGCTAGGAGATTTACCCACCGCTTCTGGTTCACTTTCCATTGCTGGCGGCAGCAAAACAACTCCCACAGCTATAGCTGCAGGTGCAGCCGGCGGCCCTACCAGTTCCGGTGGTAATGGTGGTGCCACTGGTGGTAGTGGCGGCTCAACGCCTATGTCCGATGCAGATGCCGACTTACAGGCCCGTTTGGACAAATTGAGACGGGACTAAAAAATATTTGTCATTAATTTTTATCTGTATTTTTTTATAGTTTTTTTGTGTATCTTATCAACTTGATATCGCCCATCAGCATGTAATTAAAATGAAAGCTAAATATAAGGCAACTTTAAAACTGACTTCTTTGGTTTCTCGAAAAATCTCGTTTGGCAATTAAAAAGACAATTTTGAATTGATAATAGAGCATTGAGCTTAGCATTAATTTTATTCTTTTTAAATCCACAATAATTTCACTCGATAAATAATTGTTACCGTCTCCATTACGTTTGAACTAACATTAAATATTACAAGGACACAAAATCTAAGCAAATCGGCAATAATTAAACAGATATACAACGTCATGCAGGTATGTAGCGACACGAAACGTTGCCTGCACAAAATTAAAAGCCACTTTGTACAAACACCTCTTCCACTTTAGAGAATACTTCATCGGACGAGGGACTGGCGTCGATTTGTTTAACCTTGCCAAGTTCTTCGAAATGCTTTATTATGGGAAGGGAATCATTGTTGTAGGTTTGGATGCGCTTCTTCAAACTTTCCATGTTATCATCCGAACGTCCCGAACCACTCTTTCCTCTGTTCAGGCAACGGTCGACGCACACGTCTTCGGAACAATTAAAGAAGAGCACAAATTGGAAATCGACCTTTTCGGACATTTGGCGATTCCAGCCATCCAAATTATCTTGATTGCGAGGGAAACCATCAATGAGGAACTTGTTTTTATCTGATTTATTCATTGCAGCCTCCAAAAGTGAACACGTCACCTCTACCGGTACAATCTTTCCATTGCGTATATAATCTTCAATCAGAGCACCAACTTCAGAACCTTCACGGGCCCTTTCCTCCCTCAATAAATCACCAGCCGACAGATGGACAAAACCGAAACGTTCTACAATTTTTGCACACTGTGTACCTTTACCAGCTCCTGGACCACCCAAAACGAATACAATTATTGGTTTTTCTTCCGACATTTTTAATCTTGTTAATGCACCAGCTGCGATTGTACTGTAGAGGTTAACTGTAGTGCAGGTGGAATGTTTGATGGTTTGGGCTAGTAGTAGATTACACGACCTTGTGAGAACTTTAAACATCAAGGGTGAGAGAGCACGAGGATGATACGTATATACTTAATTTGTGTATATATATGTTCCAAACACCTCACTACACTTCTACCAAGGTAGATCTAACAGGTAACCGCATCGGCGAATTGCTACAACAAAGCAACTTTTGTGGTCCCCTCAAATGTCAAAATTGGCATCTAAGGCGAAAAACATAGATTCGCCATGACATTTAAAGGTTGCGGCAAATTTGTTTCAACCAATCAGAAACGAGTTGTTTGTTTACATTTTATTTTGTGTTTTTGTGTGCCTCTCGTCGTAAAGGAACGTCGCAATAAAAGTTTTTATTGTAAAACAAATAAGAGTAAAATAAGTATTAATTGTAGTATTGCGATATTTTTTAAACCAAGGAACGTATAATGACTATATTTTACTGGTTTACACCGAAAGTTCTCCGGAACTGCAAATGGCAAGAGTCGAATTCTTGTTCTACTTCCCGTGATGTGCTTTGGGAATCATAGATGTTGAGGCTAACTTAATTCTTAAAGCTGCACTCCAAAGCCACCCTCCTTCCTTCATTTTCTTTTAATTTTTTTACTAGTATTATAAAAAGGTACTTTTAGGGAAGACAGCATAAACAAATTTGTTGTTGCATTCATTTAGGGCGAATTCTTCATTACAACAATTTGTTTTGACATTTAATGGTGCCGTCAGCTGGGCTGATGCGATTACCTAGTACATCTACCTTGACTTCTACCCTATCGATAGACCGCAAATTAAATAATTGGCATAATTGGCTATTACTGTGCTTCTTCTTATCTCTGCATTCACTACGCATGGTTGCCCCATGTACTTCGACAAATATCGATTTCAGTCAGTGTCAGACTGGAATTAGTTTACCAAACCAAGATAACAAACTATAATAAATTATATTTTGTTTAATTATTGGCATTTTTCCCAATACATTGTTTTACTCATGGTAGATGCTTCAACGCTTGGGAACATTGATATGCCAAAAAATTTAAATGTCTTTTGAAATATAAGTAGGTTTTTTTATGTTTTCTCATACGACGTCATTCGGAGGTTATTTTAATCTGCTTTTTTTAAACAATTTTTAAAAATTTAAATAATTTTTCGTTCAACATTTTCAAAATTGGATTGACAGTTCATTGTCCCAGTAGCTGCGTTGATGCGTCTACCTATATTCTTCTACCATGGTTTTACTTCTAGGAAATAGGAAGTTTATTGTAGTGTTCTAGTCTTTTATTTTTCAACCCAATTTTGGAATAGAAATTTTTATATAAAAATTATTAAAATTTGTAAAAAAAACAAAACCAAAGAAAAATTTTGACATATCAATATTCCCAATCGTTGTATTTTTTCTGTATTTTTCTATCATGGGTGAATCTAAACACAAGATTAACCCACTGGTTGTAACAAGCCCAAGGGCTAATCTTCAAAAGTATAAATGCGCTTTAAAATAATTTGGCAAGGTGGTAGAGGTAAAGTGGGACAGGGACATCGACCCCTAAGATTGAGAGAAATTCTCAGAGGTTGGTCCTAGCTGTATATCCACTAGGAAACAAACTATTTCAAGGGGAAATATATATTTTGCATAAATGGTATGACAATGAGTTTGGCTAAGATTTTTTTATTTTCCTTCCTTTTTTGGGCATGTTTCATGTTCTTTTTATTAACCTCTAGTTTAATGTTTAAGACTGGTAAGAATTTTCAGTTTTCAAACATCTGAACAGTACCGTGTGTTCCTTTGTTTGCCTACAAGTTTTCCATATATGTGAACATTGTTCTGCAACTTTTGTGTGTGACCCTCATGTATCTATTTCGATTTTTGATGAAAACGATATATCGATATTGACGCAATAAATAAAGCATCGAACGTTTATCTCCTTTAGCCACACGTAAAATGATAACCCATATCTTAAACATCTGTTGCTGTGTTGTCGGCCGTTTTGTTTTGATTCCTTTTGTGTTGTCCGCCTTTCCCTTTTGATTCCATCTTTATTTCGATTTTCTCTCTGTGCTGTCTTTCTTTTCAATGTTGCCATATTGTAGTGTCCTTTGTTCATTAATTCTTTTTCTTTTCTCGGTGGCGTCGGTTGGTAATTCATTCAATTGATTTTAATTTATTAATTTATTAATTAATTATTTATTTTCGTATAAAAATTTATATATAAATAATTTAGAAACAAATAGAACAAATGTGTATATGTGTGATTTGAGATTGTGCGTGATTTAAAAGACTAAAAAAACAATAAACAAAACCCGACCGCCAACATAACCTCCAATTAATGGTCCATGGATAGAAAAGCCATATATGTGTCTCCAGCAACTCGAGAATATTTTGTATATGTTTATAATTTTGGTCTGAAATGAGTTTCCTTAAGCCGAAAGATGTAATAGACGAAGGAGATACTGTCATCCTGTATATAAGTGTAAATTCTATGCACGTCATAGAAGCCACCCCAACCATAGTTAATAAGAAAGGCGAAACTATTGAGCATATATTCCAAACCTCATTTGGAGCCCTGAAAGTACGAAACATCATCGGTGTAAAATATGGAAGTCGTGTAGAATTGTCTAAAGGCTATGCTTATGTACTGCTGCCCAATCCTGAACTATGGACACAAACATTGCCACATCGAACCCAAATCATCTATACACCCGATATTAGTATGATACTACATCAACTTGAAGTGCGTCCAGGTTCGATTGTTATAGAGTCTGGAACAGGGTCGGGATCATTATCTCACTATTTCCTAAGAGCCGTTAAGCCACATGGCCACCTGCACACATTCGATTTTCACGAAGCAAGGGCTAATCAAGCTCGAGATGAATTTAAACATCATGGACTGGGTGATTTTGTTACCGTCTATCACCGGGATGTTTGCGAAAATGGTTTCGGCGAAGAGTTAAACGGTAAAGCGGATGCTGTATTTTTGGATTTACCCGCACCTCAACTTGCTGTTCCCCATGCTTATAAAGCATTAAAAGATAGCGGTATAATTTTTACTTAAATCTAGTTATTCAACAGTTGTAATTTTGAATTTGTACTTCATTAAAGGTGGCCGATTTTGTTCATTTTCTCCTTGTATAGAACAGTCACAACGTTGTTGTGCGGCTTTACAAGAACTCGGCTTTACGGAAATTCAATCCTACGAAATTCTGCAACAAGAGGATATTGTAAAGACAAAAACATTTCCCGTTATGAATTTGGAATTTCTCAAAACAGAGGTAAATGTTGTTTATTCAAAGCTACAAATTTGCTTATTTAATTAATTTTTATATTTGCTCTTATAGAAAGATACGTCTTCGAGTACGAAACAACCAAAAGAAACAATGAAAATTTTAACTTCATCGGCTCCTCCCACTCAGCCTGGCCATACAGGATTTTTAACGTTTGCAACTCTGCAACCAGCATTTCTTAGATAGTTTTTAATTGTACATGGTACAATTGTATTTAAATAAACAACAAATATAATTGTAATTGCAATGGCAAAAAACATTCATTGATTTTACAGTGTTACCTAAAATTCGACGTACTCAGTCGAAGTTTTTCACCACCATACAAGTAAAACACAATTTACCCAAGTATAGGACGTATGAAAGATACACACAATTCAAATTTAATAAAACCTTGGACGGATTCTTTTAAATTCTGAATGAAAAACAGTTGTCACTTATACCTTAATAAATATACCTTTGATATGTGATGATTTGTCAAAAACATATGTTTTGTGCATTGTAGAGAAATACAGGGTGAGATAAAAAAAACCGCAACAAAGTCAAACGCCACAATTTTGAAATTTCTTTAAATTATTCAATATAAAGCAAAAATGTCGGAAATAGCATCAAATTTTAGAATAAGTTTAGATTTTTTCGAATTGGTCACCTTTGGCACGAACTATGGCCTTTAAACGGCCAATGAAACCGTCACAGGCTGCCCGAATTTTGCTCTGCAGTATTTTGGCCCATTTCCGGCGAAGCGTTTGCTTGAGGTGATCGATACTTTGTCATTTTTTAGTGCCAACCTTGCTTTCCGAAAAATACTCCAGACACAATAGTCCAACGGATTGGTATCCAGAGGTTTTGGTGGCCATTGTGCGCTGGAAATGAAGCGAGGAAACTCATTTTGTAATCATTCTTGGGTGGTGCGTGCTGAGTGCGATGGTGCTGAGTCCTGTTGGAAAGTCCAAGGTCTGCGAACAAAATGTTTCCGTGCCCAAGATTTTAATACACCCTCCAGAGTATTTTCGCGATAATATTCGGCATTTATTCTGATGCCACGGTCGATTAATACGAGCGGAGAACGACCATCGGCTGTTATGGCGGCCCACACCATCATCATGGCCGGCGCTTGAGTTCTGGTGGCCAACTGAAGGTGCACATTTTCAGCTGACCTCTTTGGTTTACAAACTGCTGGACAACGAAAAAAAAAAAACATTGGAGAAAACAAATTCGGCAGTTCACTACTTTCGACCAAGCAAAGCGCAAATTTTTTAGATCTTTTGAGTCTATTTTCTTTCTGTTGCGGTATAAGTTCTTGCACTTTTTGGAATTTCGATATGTTCAGCTCACGAGCCATTTTTCGGCCACTGCGACGCGGTTTCGATCAAGTCGCTTCTTTACTTTTCGAACCATTTCTGTTTATGTTGCTGTTTTCTTCCGTCCACTTCCGTGACGTCGGGCTACGCTACCAGTACCAGTATCACAGTAACGAGTGATAGTACGAGACACAAACGATTTATTCACATTTAAATGCTGGAGTGCTCTAACAATAGCCACTTGTGGTTTTCCAGCCAAATATAAAGAAATCACACTATCACGCACGAATATTTCTTTTTTTTTTGAAAATTCTCACCAAGATGCTTTTGTATGCTTGTAAACAATATAATGAGCTATCACTGGAATAATTTTAACCTCTGTCGGGCGAGTAGCTTAGAAATGAGAGTAGTCTGAGGTTTTTGCAGTTTTTTCATCTCACCCTGTATTTAAATTTTGCTAAACATGTGACCAGAATCTGCAGGAATCTACTACCTATGATTTTTTTTCAATATCATCATAGCAAAAACCTTAAACATTCTTGAATTTCTGGAACAGAGCAGAAGTCAACTGTTTATTAAATTACATTTTTTGGATTAAAATGGGGCAATCTGTGATCGAAAGAGTATATATGTACTACACTCATGTATTTCATAACTGACAATTTGACATTACTTGTATTAAAAACATACCGCCTTTAACCGCGTAGCACATCTTTATGACTTCACTGTATGTTAGAAAAAGACAACTATAGTTTTATGTGAAACATGTCAGACGACAGGTTTTTCCATATGTAATGTCAAAGTTGGACGCCATTTCAGCTGTGAAATACATGAGCAAAGAACATACGTAATTTTTCGATCACAGTGAGCCCTGCTCATTTATTAGAAAAAATATAATTTAATCAAAAGTGTTGTTTGTTTGTTGTGTGAAAATAAAAAAAATTAAATTTGCGGTAAAATTCCTTTATAAAAAATACTAATTATTTATAAAACACAATACAATCTAAACGCGATCAAAAGGAAATAAAGAAAAAAACATATGCAAGTGTGTGAAAGCAACAATTATGAATCATATGTAAAATGCAAAGTTGACATACACACGGAAATACATATACATGGTAAAAGTGACAACACATTGGTACATATGTAAAACCCATTTTGTCTGATAACGACTTAACGCACTCAATTTGTCTGAACATTTACCGCAAAGTGAATAAACTCAAATCAAAATTGCTTACTTAAAGAAATACGATAAACAAAATACAATGGATATCGAAAATACAAAGGTAGGAGGTATATTCAGACAGATGTTTAATGTAATAAATGATTATGATTTATTATGATGTTATTTTTCAGTTGGAATGGACAAAAGAAGCAGTTCTGGACATGATTTACTTGTGGCAATCTTACGAGTGTCTCTACAATCCAAAGAATAAATTTTACCACAACAAACATTCCAGATATTCGGCTTTCAGTGCAATTGCAGATAAATTGAAAATATACAATGATACTATTGGACCAAATGATGTCAAGGTATGTATGACACGAGTCAAAGGAAGCATTTGGTGGAGTTTTAAAGAGGTGTTACTGTAAAACGGCGAGAAAGAAGAGGCTAATTCAACATCTAAAAGACCGATAAGACAGGGATTAGATTTCTGACTTGGGATCCGATGAAGAAAAATTGACACCAAACTGGTTGGCGGTTTTGGAAAAGTCTACCTTGAATATATAGTTATTCTTTTAGGATATTGGCTCAATACGAACAAGCCACACGCCAATACTTAAGTTTATTGGGGTTTGATGTATCTACAGGGTGTGATAAAAAATCTGCGACATAGTCAAATGCCATCATTTTTACATTTTTATTTAAATTTTATTCAACGAAAGCAAAAAATGTGAAATAGCACCAAATTTTAGAATAAGTTTAGATCTGTTCGAATTATGACCTTCAAACGGCCAATGAAACCGTCACACGCTGCCCGAGTGCTGCTCTGCGGTATTTTGGTCCATTCGATCGACACTTTGGTATTTTTAGTGCCAACCTTGCTTTCCAAAATACTCCAGACACAATAGTCCAACGGATTGGTGTCCGTAGATTTTGGTGGCCATTGTGTGCTGGAAATGAAGCGAGGGACCTCATTTTGTAACCGTTCTTGGGTGGCGCGTGCTGAGTCCTGTTGGTCTCCGGCCAAAATGTTGCGTGCCCAAGGCTTTAATACACCCTCCAGAATATTTTCGCGATAATATTCGGCATTTATTCTGATTGCACGGTCGATTAATACGAGTGGAGAGCGACCATCGGCTGTTATGGCGGCCCACACCATCCATCATGAACAACTTTTTTTTCGGGAAAATTCTCACCAAAATCACCAAAATGCTTTACTTCTTCTTCTTCTCCTTCAAACATATGTTACCATATGTCAATTCCACCGTGTTTCGGGGTGGAGTTTTAAAGTGACATGAGACGCTAGGTCTATGTTGTCACTTTCCAAAATGCTTTTGTACGCTTGTAAACAATAAAATGAGCTGTCACTGGAATAATTTTAACAGCTGTCGGACGTATGGTTTAGAAATGATAGCAGTCTGAAGTTGGTTGCAGTTTTTTCATCTCACCCTGTATTGTCCTATTTTAGATACAATCTTGTGGAATAACCCAAAAATCCCATCCTTGTTTATTAGGGGGTTTCCCCAAAATAAAAAATAAACGTAAACCAATTACAATTAATCCTTTTTTTTTCCCACACAGAATAAAATGCAGTACTTACGTGGACAGTATACCCGAGAGCTAGCCAAAAGTAAGGAGATGAAAAGATTTGGCTCAGAAGATACGTATGTCCCGAATGCGTATTGGTTTAGCGAGATGTCTTTTTTGCAAGACTTTGTCAAAAGTAGAAAAGATATGTACAATTTTTATGTATGTATTTATTTAAGCCTATTTAATAAAAATAAAATACATTACATCTCTTAACATCTATAGGAACAAAACACTTCACAGCTTGAGGACTCGTGTGAGTCGTCGCAACACGCTGATAATGATGTATATCCCTCAACTCAACCTGCAAAAAGAATTAAATTGGAAGATCCCATAGCAGAGCCAAATCACAACATTAGTAAAGAAGACGATGTACTTGAGGCGGCGGTAAATATATTAAACGATTTGAAAACTGACAATAGTTCGGTTAGCCATGACAGAAATGAGGCCTTTTGTAATTTTATAAAAGCAGAACTGGCATCAATAAAAAGTGAAAATATTAGGGATGAATTTATAGAGACCATTACGCTATCGCTTTTCGAAGCAAAAAGAAAACAACGGCAGCTGTTGAAAAAACTGGACGATTCGGATATTTCTTCGGCATAATAATTTCCGATATACGCTTTAAATGTTTCAAAATAAGTACTAAATTGATTTGAGTTTTGTTTTTACCTATTGGAAATTACTGGTATAGAGGTCGTTAAATTTCCATAAGTGTTTCCATGCTCCAGCATTTTGATGTGTGTTCTCTTTTTTTATAAAGAAAAAAACTTATAAAAATTGTAAAATTTTTAATGGAAGAAATGGTAAAATGTTGCAAAACTAACAAATTTATGCGGATTCTGGACATGTGTATAGGTTTTTTAAGACCCTTTAAGACATTAATGTTTTTATTCTAGTTGATACTGAAGACTCAATACATGTATATTTATGGCTTTCCATTTTGAATTGAAACTTTAGAATGGAATTTTTATACTAGAATTTATGATGTATATGTTTTAATATACAAAAAGATTTTCAAATAATTTTATTTATAAAACTATTGTAGAAGTATACATATGTGCATATAATTAAAATAAGTATAATTAAATTTCATAAATAACATTTTAAGTACTTACAATTACTTCATACCTTTTATAATAAACATTGTAAAAATAAAGTTATTATCTAATCTTAGTTAAAATTCACTGTATTTGTTTTATTCTAATAATTAAAAAAAAAACTCTTTCCCACTCCAACAAAAGAAGGAGTTATGACTAACCTTCCTCGATATCACATTAAATAAAAGCTTTAATTATTGTACTGCATCATTCTGTTTATTGAAATATTCAGCAAACGTGTTGCGCACCATTCTCCCCTCATCCCCCGAACGATTACTTTGGCATATCTGAAGATCAGTCAGGCTTACTTCTTCACGCCAGCTCTCAATGAGCTGTGAATCCAACCCATCACGTTGCAGAATAAAATTGTGTAAAGCGCTCGATGCCAATACCAATTTTTCTACTCTGTCAATAGGCAAGTCTAATTCTTTTTGAATTATTTGAAATTTATTTGCCAACATTCCTATAGCGTTTTCAGCCACACTTCGTGCACGGTTTAATCTATTATTAAATATTTTATTGGCATTTGATAACCTCTTCTCATACGGTTTCAGTACCCTTGGCGATAACTGGAAAGCATCATCCGCAACGAAAACAAAAGGTACTTTCTTTTTGCTGCCTTCCAAATAATCATCAGGTGGAAAACCATAAATGTTTTTCGGTATCTCATCACAAAATGACTCCGTGAAAATGGCAGTATCATTTGCCCTTTCGTTGGAAGCAATATTTATGTGCAAAAAATTGTAATTTGCGTCCACAACAGCCGTGAATATTACACTATGGAATCCTCTGTAATTGTAATATAATGATCCGTAGTCAGCTTTGTTCTTGATTGCAATATGTTTGCCATCTTAAAATGGATGAAAATTGATTAGAAACTAATATTTATTGTTAATACACTTTAATATTACCTAAGGCACCCAAACAAAAGGGAAAATTCCATTTCTTCTCAAAATCATTGGCTATTATTTTCCATTCGTCTGCAGTGCGCGGTACCTTAATAAGTTAGTATTGTAATTATCGGATTTTTTAAGACTTGCAGGTACATACCTTAAAGAATTCGTCTTTTAACACCCAATAAATGGCATTAATAGTTTCCGGAACAATTATAGAAATAGCCGCCTTGGAGATGCGAAATCCATAGGCCAATTGTGTGTAGTTTTCTCCAGTTGCTAAATGTCGTATGGTCAAAAGCAATCTAATGAATAAATGAAGAAATGTGCCAGTAGCCAGCAATATTATTTCCAAATGCAGATACCTTACCTTGCACTGCTCGAGATCGATTCCCGCATTAAAGTATTTTGCTTGGTAATTATAGGGGACACTTTTTCCAGTAATTCGGAGAAGGTCGGCCATGTCATTCTTGCGAAATCGTTAAACGCATCCGGGTCTTCCAAACGCATTTCGTCAATAACCATTGAAGCGAGCCCTAGTCCATAATCCCTTTGTAGAAGCCAATCATGACTCCATACTTTGCGAATCCTTTTCATTTTAATTTTTGGTTGTTTTCTTCTTTTTTTGACAACAGATATTATTGCAATTATGCTGGATACAACTTTTATTTTTTTGTCGGTTGTTAATTTCATTTTTCGTAAGCAAATTTATGTTTGTAAATCTATTTACTTGTTGTTCAAACAGAATAAAATTGTTTGGATTTGCCAATCCAAATTTTATAACGGCGTCACAGTTCTTTAAGTGACAGAGCTGCAGCTGTGGTGTAATAACGCCCTTGTTTCCTTTCACAGAAGGCCGGTTAGAGTGTGAAACTATTCCAGATTAAAGATAATCAAGTGCTGCTTCTGGCAATGCGTTCACAGAAACCATTTTATATAAATAATTGAATTTGTATTGGCAGCTTAAAATTATTATTATCCATGTTGAGCCGAAATTCCACCGCCAGTATGCAAAAGATCCCCACGCCGCTGATTACTAGAACTTGGTAATAAGCCGGGAAATCATGCGGCTTTGTTGTCTGATCAAACCCAGTTGTTTGGAACGCTTTTATATTTGTTTTGTTTGTAGTAGATTCATTCGCGTAAATAAATAAAAAATCAATGCCCTTTCAAATTTAAAAAAGTAAAATATATTTGTGTCCGCGTCCCCCTATTATGAATGATTTGGATTTCTCCCTTACACGCCGCCTACTTTTGATTGTTATAGTTTTGGTCATTATATTGTTTATAAAACAAAAATTGTCGGAGTACGAATAAAAAGTATCGAAGATACATTGACTGGATTGATTGGAGACTGGGACAAATATGACAAGCGCTAGCAAAAGACGTGTTTCCTATTTTTATAATCCCGATGTGGGAAATTTCCACTACGGCCCAGGACATCCAATGAAACCACATCGACTCTCGGTGACACATAGTTTGGTTATGAACTACGGGCTGCACAAGAAAATGAAAATATATCGACCCTACAAGTAAGTTTGGAATAAGATTTCATGAAAATCAATTCCAAGAAATATAAACATATATCGGATAGTTGATAGAAGAAACCCCTGGTTCTAAATAATAATATTGATTTCACACAACCCTTTCTTTGTGATACAAATTTCGATTGTTCCATTTTTAGGGCCAGTGCTCAGGACATGTTAAGATTCCACAGTGAGGAGTATATAGAATTCTTACAACAAGTTACGCCACAAAATATCCACTGTAATTGTAAGTAGTGTTGCATTATTGTTTGAAATTTTTCTTTTCACCGAAAATATATTTCCAGCGGTTGGCTACACGAAATACTTGTCTCACTTTAGTGTGGGCGAAGACTGTCCCGTGTTCGATGGTCTCTTCGAGTTCTGTTCAATGTACACGGGTGCATCCTTAGAGGGTGCCCAGAAACTTAATCACAATCATAGCGACATTTGCATCAATTGGTCGGGCGGTTTGCATCACGCCAAGAAATTTGAAGCCTCAGGATTCTGTTATGTTAATGATATAGTAATTGGAATATTGGAACTTCTAAAGTATAATCCACGTGTTCTTTACATTGACATAGATGTACATCACGGCGATGGAGTACAAGAGGCGTTCTACCTCACCGACCGTGTAATGACTGTTTCATTCCATAAATATGGCAACTATTTCTTTCCCGGAACGGGAGATATGTACGAAATTGGTTCCGAATCAGGACGATATTATAGTGTAAATGTGCCTCTGAAAGAGGGAATAGACGATCAAAGCTATTTTCAGGTTTTCAAACCAATTATATCCGCAGTTATGGATTTCTATAGACCCACCGCAATTGTTTTACAATGTGGCGCTGATTCATTGGCTGGGGATCGTCTAGGTTGTTTCTCTTTAAGTACACGGGGACATGGAGCATGTGTTGAATTTGTCAAGACATTTAATGTTCCAACATTGGTTGTTGGCGGTGGCGGCTATACACTTCGCAACGTTGCCCGTTGTTGGACGCATGAAACCTCATTGTTGGTAGACGAACCGATAAGCAACGAATTACCCATGACAGAATATTTGGAATTTTTTGCACCAGACTTTTCATTGCATCCGGATGTGAATTCCCGACAAGAAAATGCAAATTCCAAACAATACTTGGAGGCGATTGTAAAACATGTTTATGAAAATCTTAAAATGTGTCAAAATTCCCCAAGTGTACAAATGATTCAGGTACCGCCCGATGTAGTCGATATGGAGGAGTTGCGCAACATAAAAGAAGAGAAAGAAGATCCTGATGTTCGGACAACCCAAGCAGAGGAAGATAAAATGGTTGAACCTAAAAATGAATTCTATGATGGTGATCAGGATCAAGATCGTGGAGAGAGCAATGCAGACAGTTAAGTAAATATGTAATTTCTAGTTTAATGTTTACGTTAAGAGTTAAAAACTTCGGCCGTAATTGATGTCTTATAATTTATTGATAAGAAAAAAATATATACATATACAAATAATAAAAAATCTTTAAAACAGATATTCTTATTTTAAGACATACATATATTTTAGCCAATGGGTATAGTAATGAGTGGGATATAAAAATGTATTATCAGAGAAATCATTTTCTTAGCTATTAAATATTTCTCCTTTACGGATTCGATAATCAGCCCTTGGACTTGTTTAAAAAGCATGTCATACGAGGTATTTCAATAAACAATTCACCATCCGGTTGTTGTGTTGGCCAAACGACGCATGCGTCTGGTGTTTCTGTCTTGATCGCGTATCTTCTTTTCCATCTCGGCATCTGTCAATGTCTCCAGGAATGGTGCCCAAGCATCGGCATCACTTGGATTACGGAAGGGTACATCAATGGTAGAGAGCGGGGCCTCGCTAAAGGCATATGTGCGACAATGCCAGGACAATTGACCACGAATACTATATGCAATTGCAGTGACGAATTCTCCACCCAGCCCTAGCTCGGCACACAACTTGATGGCAAATTCCTCAGGATTGTTATTTTTCTCGGACATATCCCACTCAACTTGATCAACTAGAGATGTGTTACCAACATGTATGTTAAGTTTAACAATAACTCGTTGATCTGAACCTTCTTCAATGATGGGTGGATCACTGGGAAATGCCTCGATCTGTTGTCGTATGGCCTGAGAAATAGCCGGTACAAATGGTATGGGATTTAAATCCAAATCATCGCACAACACTTCAGCAAATTGTTCGGGCGTAATCATACTTTCATTTTTATTCCACGTAAATGTGTCACGAAGCTTTTGCCCTTCCAATTCCATGTCCAGACGAATGGGAACCAAACATTCCTTCTGGGCGGCATTTTCCAAATTGGCGGTGGGATCGGTGTCGTCAAAGCATATTGGGAATGTTCGAATCTTTTTGGTGTGGACCCGATTACGATTTATCGGTGTTGCCTGGGGAACAGCATCCAAGTGAGATGAGTTTGGCATAGTGGGTACATATTGTGGTTGTTTCTTGGATTTACTTTCACGGGGCAATGGTGCATCAGATGTGTTGACGGAAATAGCACGATACCTAAAAAAGTTGATTTTAGTGTGACACATAAGACATTGTAAATAGTTACTTACTTTTCATCATTTCCCGCAATAATGTCATCTACCTCGCATGCCCTCAGCAATGAAACAGAGCTTGCCAAGATATGAGGACTCAATCCTGAATCTGCCAGTCTTTTGCGTTCCTCATTTGACAAAACAATACGAGTCATGCCGGGATATTTTTTGTATAGAATACCACGAAATAGCCTCAAGTAATTTCCGACTTCAGAACCGACATAATAGTATTCTCCACCCTCCTCCAGCTGAAAAGCCACTGGTTTATCACCGTATGTTTGTACGGACATTTTTATTTAAATTTATTCAGTAAAACTTTAATTTCAAGATTTTTTTTAGTTATTTGTGTCTCAGCTTGCTCAATTTTGTTTACGGCGTCTTTATGTATCCTGCTTTTGTCGAAACACCAAGCCGTCTTCGAAAATAGCGGCGTTGAGTAAATGTAAACACTTACACCGGTAAGGGGCTTTGAACTTTGGCGATATCGTCGGCGTCAGTGGCAATCAGCTGTTGGTGTTATTTAATGTGTTCGCCATATAGTAGCGTATCGTGTTTAGGCCAATTCTTTTTTATTTTAATAAAATATTAAATTAAACCTGGTAAAATGTCGATGCTAAGATCTTCAGCAACATTACTGAATCTAAGCCGAGCTTTAATTCCAAGGCAAAACTTGAGTAAGTGGTTTTAAAATATTGTTTTTGTTTTTTCCCCCAACTAATACCGGTTATAGTTTCCAGCCGACCAATTAAACGATGGGTTGCTCCCACATTGCGTGAACTAAACAGAAGAGCAAAGAAAATTGGACCCCAACAGCCACAGCCAAGATCTGGATTTGTTGAGTGGAACTACAGGGCAGAACTGTTTGCCTTTGGAAAGCGTCTGCAAGAGGAGTTCCAGTTGCCTTTGTTACAAACTGCATTCACCCAGCAATCTTACATTGCCCAGGAAGAAATGAAACAGAAGGAACTGGGAATTGAAAATGTCGATATAAAAATGTCCCATAACCAAGAGCTATCGGAACGTGGTGAACACATTATTAAAGAATATGTAGATGCTTTTATTGGTTTCTCCCTACCAAAAGTACCTGCTGAGGGCAAGCAAGCAATAGCATCATACTTGATGAGAAATGAGATATTGGCTGATGTAGCTTTCCACTTGGGTATGCAAGAGTTACTTTTAGATGCTGAATATCCACCATCTGTGAGTTCCATGTCCAGGTCTCTTAAGGCTGTTGTGGGCGCATTAGAACAATCATCTGGCATGGAAAGGGCATTTTTATTTGTTAGAGATTTTGTGTGTACCCAACTAAATCAAAAGGATATGCTGGATCTATGGAGCATAGAAAATCCAGAAGATTTGTTGAAACAACAATGTGAGCAAAGGAAATTGCCAGCTCCTGAGCCACGCCTCTTGGGGGATTGTGGTAAAAATACTGTATTGGCTGCTTATCACGTGGGTTTGTACTGCAATAAAAACCTAATTGGCAAGGGTTTTGGCGAAGATATACAAACAGCGGTGAAAACTGCATCCCTGGATGCCCTGCAAACAATGTTTGGCATTCACGATAATATGAAACCTTTCGATTTTAAAATACAAGTTCAAAGTAAAACTGCGAAAATTAATCAATAAATTGTTGTTGTTTAGAAATTTAAAAAGAGTTGTAGTACTTTACTTATTTTGGGAGTGGTTAGAAAAAATTTCTGTTTTGCGGAATGAAATCGAATTTTCCTCTGTAAATTTTATAGAAATAAGGAACAATGAAATATATTATGCCATTATAAATGGACTATTTATAGACCTGAGCGGCAAGACTTGTAACAATGGCAAGTGTTTTGAGTCAAAACCCTGTCTTTAATTTTTACTTCTCTATTGTTTTTTATTTAATTTACATTTCAATTAGCTACTTAAAATGTGTAGAACTTATTACGTTAACACACTACAAGCTTATATTCAGCAATCACACATTTCAACTATTTTAAGCATTGTCATTGGGGCATATCTTTCTTTGTAAATTGTCAAGACTTCTTGAACATTAAAACCATCAACCATTTATATAGCATTTTTGTTTATTCCTCGGGATTTTTCGTTTGTCCTGAGTTGGCGTTTGTCGGTTCTTCGGGTTTACTTTCAAGAGAAAAGGGTGGTATTTTACAGTCGAACATGTGGCCATCTTCGCGCTCTAGACGAAATGTGCCCCACATATGGCCGCTGGGAGCTTGTAGACTAACGTGGCTGCTATACTGGAAGGCTGGGAGGCGTGGGCTTAATATAGGCTCTTGACCTACAACACCACGACCCCGTACCGTTTCCAATGTGCCTGAGAGAGAAAATATACGCCAGTGTCGTTCGCGTAACTGCACAGTCATCATGCCAAGATTTTCCAAACGAATCGAATAACGCCACTGGAAAATATTTACAAAATAAAATAGAATTAGCATAACTTTTGTAAAATATTATTTCTTCTCACCCAATAAACCGAAGAAGCCGGAGTTTCACGACAGCCCATATAGAATGGTATCACAGTTACACGTATATTCTCGGTGGTCTCCTTATGTACATCACTCAATTCCAACCAAGGATGATTTTTCTCTTGCCACGTCTTAAGGGTGTCTTTAGCTTCAAATGGGGGGTCCTTGTCGGGTGCATAGCCCAGGAACTTTTCGAAAAGTTCATGCTGCAATGGAGTTTTCTCCGTAGTAGAATAGGGCATAATATCATCGTGAGAAACATAATCTAGGCCAGGAATTGCGTATAGGCTACGATTTGAATCCTGATTGCCTAAAAAGGTGACAGCCTCCGTTTGGGCCCTCTGGAAGAAAGACCAATATTAGCATTTAAAAACTGAAATGAAGGATCAAGATACTTGCAATATAAGGACAATCGCGAGAATCTATAAGTACTTGATAGAACGTTTGAACTTTTCCTTTGACTTCTTTGGTGCTTGATTCATTTGCATCTGCTGTATTTGAACTTGGAGTTTGTGTATTCGTATTTTCGGCAGACGGAGATTTTGCTGTATCGGAACTTTCCTCTAATGGGGATTTAGTGGCTACACAAAACATGAAAACCAATAAATAAATTTACATAGACCATACGTCGAGTTAACTTACATGCGCCTGCGGTCTCCACCTTGTCAGCAGCACCTGACGTTTTTCCCCTCGCAACATTGGCTCCTCCAGCATTTGGAATATTTGTTGTAGTTTGTGCTGCTGTTGCTGCAGGGGTTTTCTGCTTGTTGGGATTGTGCAAATCACGATCATAAACTCTTGCCTTCCAAGGAAAAAGTACTACACCACGATAACCAAATATTTTGTGAAGGAATAATTGACCAGTTTCATATTTACTATCAGCTTTTGCAGGTTCCAAACGACCCACCTCGGCCAATCTGCAAAAATAACATAATTACATTGTTAATGTATATATTCTAAAGCAGTTTGTTGTGTTTATTTGTTTGCGTTATGCAACTGAGTGCATGCATCGCAAGTTCTCTGCCCAGAACAAAAACAAACAATTGCATGTGAATGTGAAATTGTTTGTTAAGGGCGCCAAATTTCTAGAATGTATAATTCTATTTTAATTTTTTTTGCACTGTAATTATACGTAATGGAAGGCCAAAAGAAAAAATCGTGTGCCGTTCTCCCAACCCACCTTGTTTGTGATGCTGGTTTCTTTAGAGTCCTCTTAACAATACAAATTGCCGGATTTAAAACACCAAAGGAAGTTGTTCTCGTTGCATGTTGTGTCCACAATATCTTCTGTAACACCCCCATTTACTGCGGTTATTGTACTTTTTTCCGTGTAACTGCGAAATTTCGTTTTAGAAGCAGAGCACAAATGAATTTTTATTCGTCCTAAAATAAACCACAAAACGTCGTTATGGAATCAGATTTGGCAAGAATTTACTAAACAAAACAATGCCAAGTTTGGTTACATACAAATGTAAGTTTAAATTACTTTCAATTTTGTTTAATTTTCAGATTGTTTCATATTAATTAGTTTTTATTTATTTTTTATAAATCACTGACCAAAAAACTACAATTTGCGATATGTCAAAAGAAAAATTGTAAACACAACGAAGTGTCAGAGCATTGTTGCCAATGTTGCCATAACAACGGATGTGGCGGAAAGGAAAAATCGGGCGACCCTGTTCTGTTGATACCCTACCATAATAAAATAATATAGGTAGACGCATCAAGGCTTGGGTACATTGATATATCAAAATTTGTAAAATGTTTTATCAGAAATAAGTAGATTTTTAAATGCTTTCTAATAAGACGCAAGTCGGTAATTGTTATAATATGCATTTTTCAACAATTTTTACAAATACCAATAGTTTTTCATTCAACATTTTCAATTCCAAAGTCAGTTTGACAGTTCATTGTCCCACCATGTACATTTATAGGTCAACATTCAGAGATGGGAACCTGCAAATTGTATATATACAATTCATTTATAGATAAACATTTTGACAATGCGACGTTGTCAAATGAATTATTTTGAAAAACATTGTAAACATATGATTGCATGATATTACCTTCTCAATTCTACCATGCAATCTTCTAACAAATTCTCACAGGTTTGTTGTTTCCAATTGTTATACAATTATATTACCATGGTAGAACCATGGCAGAAGAATACAGGTAGATGCATCAACGCTTGGGAGCATTGATATGTCAAAAAAAAATTAAATGTTTTTTTAAATATAAGTAGATTTTTATACGTTTTCTTATGCTACGTCATTCGGAGGCTATTATAATTCGCGTTTTTTAACAATTCTTACAAATTTAAATAATTTTTCATTCAACATTTTCAATTTCAAAATTGGTTTCACAGTTCATTGTCCCAGCAGCTGTGTCGACGCGTCTACCTATATTCTTCTGCCATGCAAGGTACGTATGTTACAATAGGGCGGTAAAATAGGTTCGTAAAACTGCTAAAATACACTTCTGAGGATGGCGCAACTTGGGCCATGGTCCTGAGCCTGTGCCCACTTTCTTTTAGAATTATTCACAAAAATATGCAATCGAGAACAACCGATCTTAATATTCCCTATATTCATTTGATACTTTTCCTTATCGTTAAAAAGCGTGAAAGGAATGAAATGCCTGGATTTTCTTCCCAAATGTGGATTATTAATTCAATTCCTTGGAAAACTGTTTAATATCTTTAATGCATTCCCACAGTTGGCGCTACTTGTAATCATTGATTTAGAAAATTTTTTTGTTTTACAAAACAATAAATGCAAACACAAATCTTGCAGAAATCGGGAGAACTCATAAAAAATTATAATTAGCCGGAAGCTTCACTTTACTTTTTTATTGGACCATGCCTATATATCTTAGTTTTGACTAAATTTTTAAACGGAAATAGACAAATGGTTATGTCAAAGTACGTTTTTGAGACCCGTATTTATCACGTCTCTTTCATAGACGATTTTTATGGTAACCTACAAAGACTATTCTTTTATATTAGGCTCTGGTTTTTAACATATACAAACTAAATGTTTCCATTTTTATATCATCCATGGGGGTAACTTACTATTTCATAAAAGATTTAGGTATATTTTTTTGATCTTAATTTAGTTCTAATACGTTGTAATAATTCTACCATATGAACAAATTGCGATGGAGACTGGAAATTGTATATATTTCAGTTTTTTTTTGTGCGGTTCGAAGATGGGCTATAAGGGTGGCCCACGTTTTAGTAAACGGAATCTCCCAATGTTCAGAATTTAGACGTATTTTTAAAGGAGTTGTCTTATATTTCTTTCTTTCTTTATTTAATTCATACTTAATACTAAAGCCTCCAAGGCCAATTAATTGTATTAATAAGGTACTCAATACCAAGTTTGTTATGGAAAGCTGATACTAGATGCTGCCCATCAAGAAAAAATGCCCAACGTCCATGCCGGCTTTTCCCCTGATAACCATAATGACTTTCCCCATGTTATTTATGGAAAACAAATATATAAATGGTTATTGTAAAGCAAACAAATTTTATTAACTCTAAATAATATTAACATAATAGATACATCTTACAGTGCTTTACACAGTACAGCAAATGCATGTAATGTATAGGCGTAGGTTCCATTAAAATTAAAATAGACTATTTATTAGGTAATAAATATTTATATCAAACGCTTCACTCTGTCGCCGACAACCTGTGGTCAGTGCTTTCGGACTTCGCCGGCAACTTTCTTCCTCAGTTCTTTGTAGTCGTCAACACCCATCATAGGCTTAATGACTATGGGATATAAGGTGGCACCGATTCCACCAACAATTGCTCCAACAAATAGGACATATCTGAATCCTTTTAAAGTTGTTCCCATCGTTTCGTTGTTTCGGTTCTTCTTTTTCTTCTTTGTGAAATGGAAGTGATAACAATATGGCATAACAGCTGTTTAAAACATGCATGACGTTGCCAACCTTTATGGAGTTTACACCAACAATTCAACAAAAATGATATATTTAATAAGGTTTAGGTCCTTATTTAAAAAAATATATAATAAAAAAATCATTTCATTTTAGAAACTCGAAAAAAAAACTTTACGTTCCCTTAATTTTTAGTGATCTTCTACAATTATTAATTATTTAGTGATCTTCTATCAATTAGTAAACTTTTTGCACATTATGTGAGTCATTTTAAAGTTACGAGACTAGATTCGGAGTTATGTTTTTTTTTCAAATTTGATCAGCCTGCTCGACCTTTGTTTTATCATCTTATTTTAGAACATATTGTTATTCTTATGATGAATATTACATGGTTTTCAAAAGTAAAGAGAGAACAACTCCACTGGATGGCATCTAAGATGTCCTTTTGACGTCTATCTTTGAACTGTTTTCATCCCGAACTCAAGGTTTTGGGAAGTTAAAAAACAGCTACCGTTACTCATTTTTTACAAATCTTTGTTAAACGTTGAAAACCCACGAAGTATTTGAAAAAAAAATATATATAAAACTCTCCAAATTTAAATGTTTTTTATTCAAAAGTTTTCACTTTTCTAATATTTATAACTTCGTTAGAAGTTTTATCCAAAAGCGTATGGGGGCATATGCTAAACGGGTATAGACACCGGGATAATAAGGATCAGCACAGCCAACACCCCATGAGACAACACCAACCAGAATACCATTTATTTGTATGGGTCCGCCACTGTCACCTTGGCAGGCATCTGTACTGCGGGCTGCAGCACAAAACATTCTGTAATGAGAAACAAAAACTCACTGATTTCGACGAACACAACTTCCAAAAAAGTCGCCAATTAAACATACGCATTTGAAACACCGCCATGTATCCTTAAACTGTTATTACATTCCACTTGGTCAACTGTAAACACTAGAGTATACTTTAATTGGTATGACAAATTGTGATCTGAAGAACTTTGATGACCCCATCCCGACACTGTGGCCACACTATTATTGGGAATTTTTTCCGAAAGACCTGGTAGTTTAATCGGTTTGACATACAAATCGGGACGATGGAAAGTATTCTCACGGACTTTCAGCAATGATACATCAAAGTTCATTGTTTCGGCATTATAACTGGGATGAGTGTGAATCTGTTGTACGGGTACAATTACACCATCTCTTGTTCTCCATGTACTGCCCATGCGTAGAGTTACCTCTCTGGGTGTATGCTCAACGTCGTGTACACAGTGAGCCGCTGTGATGGCCCAAGAGTCACTTAAAACCGAAGCACCACATATATGTATTGTTCTAAGCCTTAGCGAGAGCTTAAATTTCAAATAGGTAAATTGTGTATATTATTCATGGGCTCGATCTGGAGGCATAAAATCACTGTAACTTACCTGAAATGGAAAGTTTTCTATTAAACCATTTTTTCCATTAACTATACGAAACCTTTTCGCATTGTTTTCCTCAATAAAGATTGCAAAAATCAGAAGCGCAAAGAAAATTAACTTCTGCATAATTTCAGAATCAATATCACACTAAGGCAACAACTAAATATCCATATTATGATACAAAATTACATATATGTAGCTTATAAATGACGAAAATGATAGCTTCGCCATTATCTTTGGTAATTTCATGGGTAACACAGGCAATTAAGAAGATATCAATATTAATTGGCTTCCGATTGGTTGCTGAATCATTTCCACAGAAACGCTGATAAAAAACTGTGAGGAAACATTAATGTTTCAGATAATAGTAAGATTGTTTGTGATGGTTTAGCAAAGACATCGGCACTGAGATTACAAGCAACTACTGTGAAGTTTTTGGTAAGGTTATTTTGTATTTTTATTAAATCAAAAAATAGAATACGTATTTAACTATTTGGGATGAATAGTAAAGCAATATTAAAAAAATCTGATTTGGCATAATTAAAGTTGTTATTTTTAATAAATTATGAAATCAAAAAGCCTTTATTTTTCGTTAATTATAAATGGAATTACAAATATATATAAGTACTTAACTTGCATTTTATAAAAATACTCTACGTAGTTTGTGGACATGGAAAAATGAATCAATTTTTAGATAAAACTTAGAAATATTAAAAAACTAACAAGTTTTTTTTTTAAAAATGCATACATTTTCATTTGAATGTACAATTACAGAATATGGAACTTGTCATAATTAGACTAACCTCGATCTAAGGCATTTACTCTCAATTGTGCGTAAACAACAATAACAAGCACATCAATCCTGATTCGTTAGGTACTTTCATTCAGTCTTCTTCTTTTTAGCACAACTTTTGATAATCCCTTCGAAATGCAAGTGCAGGAAATAACCAACAATACGAAGAGGACCCAAAAGCACGGCATGGAATAAATTTTGGAAAAATCCATCCCACTTGAAAAGTGCACCACCCATTAAAGTCAATAGCCATGATTCGAAACCAAGTATGGAAATAAAATTGCCTTTCTGCAATGGAAGTTCGATTAGCCTTTTTTGCAATTTAGTATTTTTAATACTTTACTCACCAAAGCATCATTAACAATTTGTTTTGCAACAGCATCGGGTTCAGCCAAACCACCACCGCCAGAAATCAATTTCGTTTCTTGGGGTTTGGTTTTATTTTCATTTTCAAAACCGGGAGTATTTGTGTCTGCCGGCAATGCCAGTGTCACGGTGATACCCAAATGACGACATTCCATTGCCACCGTTTCAGCCATGCCACGCAATGCATATTTTGATGCAGCATACGGTCCATAACCATAAATGCCAAACAAGGCAGCTTGTGATGCGGTTATAACGATTATTCCCGCCTTGGCCTGTTTCATTTTAGGTAAAACATAACGGGTACAATTGTATGAACCCCAATAATTTACATCCATCAATTTTCTAGCATCCTCAACAGGCACTTCCTCGAACACCCCACATATGGCCAAGCCGGCACAGTTAACTAACATGTATATATCACCCAATTCCTTTTCGATTTCCTCTAAACATTTCTGAACATTTTCATAGTTGGTCGACAAATCGAGACAGCGATATTGGAATTTTTGTTCTGGACTTTGTCTTATCACCTCCATAAGTGCAACAGCACCACCTGATAAACGAGAAAAAAGTACGATGAACTACTATTTTATCATAAAACACATGCTAGCACATAATGTAAACAAATGTTCGAACATGAATACACCTTTATGGGCGCGGTCATATTTTGTACTTACTTAGCATTTTCTCATCTCGTGCCAAAACCGTAACGTTTGCCCCGCGCAGAGCACATTCCACGGCCACACGTAGGCCAATTCCTTTACTACCTCCCGTAACTACCACATGTTTTCCAACAATACTCTTGACCCGTTTCCTTGTCACAAATAAGAAGACTAGTATGTGAGCCAATATGGCTAGGATTATGTACAATGCTATCTCCCATGTTACAGCCGACATTCTTTCTTGCTAACTGAATGGCTTACTGGCTTGTTGTTATCTTCTAGAAAAGGAAAAAAGTCATTAGATTTTCGACCCTGTATATTAAAAAAGTTCTAGGTTTTCTCGAAGATTTTTCAATAATTTGTAGTTGCTTTACAGTTATTTACGACTAATCATGGTAAAATTACCTTAAATTTATAATAAATAATTTAAAAATGATAGAAATTAAATTGGGTTTGTCAAAATAATGCTTCTTCTTTCTTTTATAGATTCACTCACTATGTAATGCGTACGGTATTTTCCTATAGAAAACTCCAAAGAGGATTATAGTGCGTTCACCATTATCGCACCACATAAGACCAGCTGATTTTATTCGTATCGTCAAAGTATTGTGAATTAAACGTATAAAAACGTAAAAACATTGTTGGTAGTATGAGGGGTTTCAATCAGAATGATATTTTTCGTTGTGCTTGCACGGCCAGTACTTTTTTAAATGTATACCATAATTCTAAAGCCTCCAAGGCCAATGCATAGTATTAATAATGGTACAATGACGACAAGGTAGGCTAACTTTGAAAAAATTGCAAGTATAGAGGTCTACCTGTTTGGCTTGTAATGTCAGAACTGCTATCAAAACAATCAAAAAACAAACAACTGTTGAAAACAGCGAAAACTGAATTAAATGTCAAATTTTCTTTTCAAAATCATATTCTACATATCTCTAAGGGTTCATTTCGATACAAAAACTGTAGATATTGTTCAGGCATACGTTGCAATAAGCATTTGGAAAACACCCGAATTCGAATATTTACAATGTTGTTTCAAATCTACTTATTTTTGAAAAAAACATTTTAGAAAATTTGACATATCAATGTTTTCATGCGTTAATGCATCTACCTGTGTTCTTCTACCATGGTAGTTATTATTGAAAAGAATACGCACACATAAACAAATAAAGTTGACACATTAAACCAAGGAAATAAAAAAAACATTAAAATCATATGGTATGGTAGCCCTACCTTGATTTTATTGTACCATGGTATTAATAATGTAATCATTATATTAAGTAGAAAATTATAACTTCGAAATGATACATGATTTCATTTGTATAGTAAAAACGCAAACAGAAATTTTGATAGTATGAAGTTTTTCAATCACAATAGAAGTTTTCTGTTTTGCTTACATCTTTAATCGGGTCAACCGTAATAAACGTTTTCCATAAGAGAATTTATTGTGATTGGTTAATTATCAGGTGTAACCGTAATTTTTCTTTTATACGATTTCATCTCCTGTAAAAAGTCCTTCTGTTACATTCCCTTTACTGTTTGGGCGACCATCTCACTGTGAGTGGTCACCGAAGTAAGAAGCAGAGTTTTGTTGTGTTGTGTGAAAATTCATTCTTCAGCCAAAGGAAAAAAGCTATAAAATCATAAATAATTGTTTTTTTAATAGATTATAGAATGCAAATGAGCTCGAATATTTCAATAGAACGTAAAAAAGTCGATTGCAATGCCTTGCCAAAGGGGTGGCAAAGGGAAGAAGTCCTTCGAAAGTCTGGAATCTCAGCAGGAAAAGTTGATGTCTACTATTACAGGTAAGACGGGCTGAACTTGGGTTAAGAACATAAACAACTACATTGAGTAAATGAACAAACTAAGCACGTAAATCACCCACCAGTAACAAGAAATTAATTCAAATATATACCTAAACACAAAACTACCAAATATTCACCTTTTGTTAAATAAAACCTCATATGCGACTTTATCACCTTTTTTGATTATTCCCCACTTTTCCCCCAAACAAAAAAAACCCAAACTTAACGTGTCGTCGTTTTGCTGCTGATGTTGCTATACTGAAACCCCTAAAGTCCCACCGGAAAACGCATTGATAGTAAACCCCAATTAGCTCGTTATTTAGGAGACGCCATAGACATAAGCAGTTTTGATTTTCAAAAGGGAAAATTTACAATGCAATTGCCACCACCATCAATTTCGTTGTATCGTTGCTTGCCAGGAACATCGATTAGTGCTAGTACTGCTCCAGTTGGGTGTGGTATTGGCGGCGGTACAAGCAGCAGCACAAGCAGTATTACAATTGTGCCACAACCGTCAACGGGACACTCTTTAAAACGTAAACATAAATCGCCGTTGCAATCTTCTGCATCCTCAACAAGCTATAATATATTGAATTCAACTACTGCAACGACTTCATCATCGTTGTCGTCATCATCGTCCGCCACGACTTCTTCGAATTTGTCAACGTCTAATCTAAAGCAACAACAACAGTTAGAATTCAGGTAGAAAGGAGAGCCCATTAGATGGGCGAAATTGTGTTGCATGCCATGTCTTCATGAAGAGTTCTTATTAAGCATATTTCTACATAAACATATTCGATAGCGATTGGCAAATTTGAAGAAAATTCTTTATATCACACCAGAAAAGTACTTTTGATTTTTTTCTTTAAAAACAATATTGGCTCGTTAAATGAATTAAATCAACATTGTGTTTGCACTTTTTATTTAGTGAAATTGATTTTTTTGCATGATGACGTTCCTTCTTTAATACAACCATCATAATGGCTAAAAGGTGTATTGGATACATTTTAAATATATGGCCTGTTCCAAAACTGCAAGAATTTAAAAGTTTTTACTACGATAACCGATTTTCCCTTTATGATAACGGAGAAAATTGCAAAAAATAGTAGATTCTTTCAGGTTCTGGAATAGATCAATTATGTACGCAGTAGAATAGGGTCATAACGATCTGCCTGAGGAAAGTAATTAGAATACAGATTGCAGTTCGTAATGATCCTATTGCACTGTATTTAGTTTTATTGTCTATATGTACAAGTTTTGTTTGCAGAAATTGTGATCGGAATAGTAATGCTACTTTTTTATCATTTTAACAGCCGTGCTATGCGTACCGATGCCTCCTTGGTTCCACCCATACGTCAAACGGCATCTATATTCAAACAACCTGTTACCGTGGTACGCAATCATGAATGGAATAAAGTAAAACATGACACCAAACAGGTGGCTCAAGACAAACCCAAACAGCTGTTTTGGGAGAAACGTTTGGAAAATATGCGAGCCTGTCATGCCACTGGAGAAGAATTCGATGATATTGTATTACCAAAGAGTATTAAGCCGTTGGGTCCCAATATACATGAACAGACTGTTATGCAATCCTTGGCCACAGCTTTACATGTCCTCAATACACCTGTCACCGGACAAACTGCCACTAAGACTGAGTTTCAAAAAAACGCCACAGCTTACATTAATCCCGATCAACCGCTAATGCAGGGGGTACTCATTTCAGAAGATGATATACGACGGCAGGAGGATCGTGTAAACTTGGCCCGAAGGAAATTACAAGAAGCTTTAAAGGCTTAAGATTTTTGCGGATATTTCGCAAGCAATTTATCATAATAATAATTAGGTGATAAGTTTATATACTTGACAATGTCCAATAAAGATTACTTTTTGTTTCAAACCACCAACCATCCTCTCTCTCTCCTAAATTGGAAATCCCGGCATACCCGATGAATGTCATATACCATAAATGTCTAAGAGAGCAGCAAAAATACCACAGGATATTCCATTTTATTACATCGTTTATTTCATTGAAAATTGATTGCAAAAGATGTCGCGATAAACAAAACTTAACAAACAATTGTGGCATTTCAACAAATAATTTAAATTTGAAAGCAAAAATGCATTAATTTCTTATTCATCTCAAAAATATTTGTAATACAAAACAAAACTACTTCAATATTTTTTCGACAGCCCAAACCAAAAATCCTTGATGCAACGTTTAAATGTGTGTTGTATTATTAAATAAATCACACACGAAAAGAAGGCAAAGGCAGTTAATTTTTTTCCTCTTTGTGATCTTGAATCTATTTTGGTATTTAGTCCATATCATCTTCATCTATATCATCATCGTCATAATGAATGCCCCCATCATAATGATCATTTGAGCTGGAAAACTGAAAATACAAAATGGTTAGTTATGGATTCAAAATACAACATTTCAGCTTCTTTACCTTTTTATAAAATATTTTCAGGGCCGCAAAGGAACTCATAGCTACAACTGCACCTATGCCAGCCAAGATTTTTGTCTTCTTTTCAGATTCTAGGAACTTTCGTTCTGTTGCTGTCAACATGGGATCATTGGGCGAAGCATTATCTTTGCTGGTGTTAATCGAATTAAATGCTTCCTTTTTAAATATATCACGGGATATTCTATTTATGAAATTCACTAAGTTTGGGCAGCCTTTTATGTGATTTTGTATGGGATTTGTGGGCAAAGTGATTTTGAAGAGTATCGCTAAATATGAAAATACTATGGCATCAAATTCACTGTATTTGTCGCCGAAGAACCACAAATTGCGGCCCAAACGTTTCGACAATACATTGATGCATTTCTTGGCCTCATTGGTAATCTAAAAAGAATGAAAATACATTATTATTAATTGACAGTAAAATTGCTATTTCAACCTACATATTCCACATTGTGGTTCTCCAATTTATCATCAATATCGAAACCACCCATCACTGAGATAACATCATGGGCATCCTTTTGGTACGTGGACGGATAGTAGAAATTAAATGGGAATGGAGTTCGTTTGGCATATAATGCACGGGTTATATCGAAATTGTTTGGTTCGCCATACAAATAATAATTGTGGTAGACATGCAGTTTTGTAAACACCCAATTTGCAAAACATTCCGAGAGATGGCGATCCTTTTGCCGGAGCTCATGATTTATGGCATAGCCCTGAAAATAGAAATAAATAGCAACATGTTTTTTTAGAGAGTCCATTGAAACCAATGAACATTACATATTGTTAACCATATTTGGGCACACATTCTAAAAGTGCAATCACTTATCATGCACGCCATTCGCTCACTCACCTCTTTGTCTAACAATTTCTTTATCTGTCTGTAACCTACAAATTTTTCATCGCCTATTTGAAGATACGGCAATTTGCCGGCACCGGAGCGCAAGGGGTTGGAATTTGTCTCAATAACGACTGGACAGCGGGTAAATTTGATCAAGCACTATAAAGATGCATGTAAAAATTCAAATTATTCAAGAATACAACACTCATTCTGCTAAACGCTGGAAACGATAATCGTCTTGAGATGATGGCAGGATGATTGGAGTATGTAGCCAGTATGATGCAACTTGCTATTAAAATCATGTTCACCATCACACTACTACTCGCTTGACACATACCAGAACGCGCAAACACTCGAAATCAATGGAAGGCAGTCCCCATTCGCCTTTGTACACATACAACACGGCTCCTAGTCTCATATTTATTGTTATTTTCCCGGTTGCCTTTTATATTTCCAATCAGATCATTTAACATTTACACTTTTGTTTAGTTTTTAAATTTTTCTTTCGACCAGCGCAAGGCCCATAAAGCACACAGGTCGTGTAAGTCACAATGATAGCGTAAAACGATTAACAAATCACAGTAAACAGCTGACATGAAAGTAAACCTATAAATGTAACGTGTGGCATTTTTATGCTAAAGGCCATGGCGCAATAATAAGGTGTAGCAATAATTAAAACAAATTCTAAACATATGATTGCATGACTTTACCTTCTTATTTTCTTCCTCTGTTTTATTTGCATCATTGTTTCTCTGGCGGAGAGCTTTATGTTCACGGAAAAAAACATTCTTTGCAGTTTTTTTATTCCAATCGACATCTGGAATAAAATCTATGCTTCTATGCCCGGGCAACACAACATGGTATTTCGTAATTCATGACCTCTGGAGAATATTGTAAAACACCGCAACTAGAAAATTGTCAGATTTATCATTATAGGGACCCGCAAGTGCATGAATCACATGTTTTGGAGCTGACCGATAAACTACGAAGGACTTGCAAAGCATATCATTTTGTAATCTCTCATTGTTTTTGTTGGCATACACTGGGGAATCAGCTATAGATGTTCTAGCATATTCGATTTTAGACCTAACCCATGGTACAATGAGGAGGTAGAACAGCTCTATATAACTACAGCCCTGAGGCTATGCCTGCTTCCTATCGGAATTATGCAACCAGTTTTAATTTATTCTATATTTTTCCTTATTTTCATACACTCAGTCACATGGCTAGAGAGATATAATTTGATACGGCCAAAACGTTCCTCAACGAAATAACGGTTTTAGAACCTAGATCCCTTTGGCCCAGATCCGTCTCAGGAAATTTGGAGTCGATCTAGCAATTATTTTTATAAATATTTTCTCTGGTTTTTCGACCTTTTGGATAGTTAATAAAAACAATTATTTGAGCTTGAGGTCAAAATTATTTTTATATTTTTATTAACCCACGGTCTGGTGTGAAAATGGGAAATATCGCTCCACTCTGGTACCTCCCCCACAAAGGGTCAACATATTGAATATGCATGAACCTCATAAAACGCGAAACTAACATCCGATTCCATTTAGATTTGGTAGATATCAATATTTCAATAAAGACAAGAACTGTTATAAGGATGGTAGAGATCGGATCATTTCTCCTTTTACCTCACAAAAAGAGTCAACATTTGAATAACCAAAACGATTATAAAATCCGAAATAAGCATCTGGTTCTCTTCAAATTACACAAATCACAATATTTTTATTAACCCACGGTCTGGTGTGTAAATGGGAAATATCGTTCCACTCCTCCCCCACAATGGTCCAACATTTTGAATATCAATGAAGCTCATAAAACGCGAAATTAACATCCGATTTCATTCAGACTTGGTACATCTTAATGTTTCCATCAACACAAGATCTGCTATAAAGATAGTAGATATCGAACCATTTCTTCTGGTGCTTCGTCCACAAAGAGTCAAATTTTTGAATAACCAAAACGATCATAAACTTCGAAATAAGCATACGGTTCTCTACAAATTTCATACATGCTATTATTTTACTAACACAAGATCTGATGTGAAAATGGGTTCAAAATTTTGAATAACAAGACGCTAATAAATCGGAGATTATAACTTAATGTAAGTAAAAAATTGTATAAATTGCAACTTCCCATCCCTTCTTTCACGACGACAGCTGTCACGTCTACAGGCAATGTCAAACTTGAATGCTTCTTCTCCTTGTGTGAGCAACTAGTAAACATTGCACAAACACATATTTCGCAAAATAAACTTTTTCTAATGTTTTTAGTTAACTATAGTAGTACTTCCGAATCAGAAGCTGAGGAGGGTGAGAAAGAAGTGGATAACCATCATATAGAAACAAAAAAGTGAGTTTGCATCACAAATTGTCTTAACAAAATGTGGGAACAGATGATTACACTGTGCTAAATTCGAATAGGCTTCTTTTGAGGTCCGTTAATATATTTGGCGCGTAAGCTTGTCCTTCAGTTAAATATTCAAATCAACGTTTATTGAACTCATTGGGGCTGATATCGATTCCTCGCATAAGTTGAGTAACATTTGCTAGACTCAATGAGCACAGTTTGTCGGAAAAATGTTTGCATAAAATATTCAACAAATACATGCAAGAATATTACATCAAAATTTAATATTTAGGTTAATACTTCCCAAAGCCACAACCTTACTTGGGAAACGAAAGTTGCCTGATGAGGATGTAGTTACAGATGATCCATCCAAACACCAAGGACGTATACGAAGTTTCAAACACGAACGCGGCAACTGGGCTACATACGTTTTTGTTGCAACGCCTAAAACACTACTGGAAGATTTACAAGAATTATGCCTCAGACAATTGGATAGTAAATGTGATTTTAAAATTTGCCCTGATCTCCACATAAGTTTAAGTCGAACTGTTGTGTTACAATATCATTTTATAGAATCATTTATAAAAACTTTGGAGGAGGAGTTTACAGCAACTGCAAGGTAAGACAAGTTTTTGTCATAAATAGTAGGTTTTGAAAATAATTTAATTCGAATTTCCTTTTAGATTTACCATATCGCTAAGTAGTTTAAAAGCCTATACAAATGCCGAACGTACACGTACTTTTTTGGCCATTCGTGTAGATGACATACATTTAGAGAAAATGCTGGAGATTTTAAAGAAAGTTGATCGTGTTATGTTGAACTTTAAACTAGCCAAATTTTATGAGGTGAATTGAAATAGTTAAATTGGGTTTGGATTTTTTTGTTAAACGAAATCTGAACCAGTCTTCAATTGATAATTGATTTTCTTTCTTTTCAGGATCCTTCTTTCCATATTAGTATACTATGGTGCCTTGGAGACTATGTCGATGAAATAACTAAACAATTGCCTGATATTGTTGAAAGTATAAAGGATTTGCTACCTGTAGAGTTAAAAATTGATAGACTTTATTGTAAAAGTGGATTTAAGGAATACAATTTTGAACTGAAATAAGATGATTATGAAGACTTTATGTGCATATTTTACTTCGTAAGTTAAGTCTTTATAAAATATTCTTGCAAACATATAGGAGGAGGGAAATAATGCATTTCAAACTTTCTTTTTTCCATTGCCTTGTTTGGCTGCCAGAGCTTGCTCCTCTAAACGTGCCTCTTCTTCAATTTCCAATAGCTTTTGCCGACGTCTTCCCAATGGTGTCTTAGTCCACCACGATTCATAGGCTTCCTCCTCTTCACGATAGACCGGATCTCGGGTGCTAACAAGAGAACCATATGGAATTGTGGAAATAAATGATACTCCATTGACTTCCAATTGCAAAGGCTTACCACAAAACATTTATCAGTTCGGCATGAGTCAAAGGTTGAGATCGCAACTGAAGTTTACGTTTACAGGTCAGAACCTCTTTAAGGCAGGCATTAACCGCTCCAATTGTATAACCATCGGAAATTTTGGCCATAACACTGCAATCCAGATTTGATAATCCACCGGAATATTCACTGGAATGGCGAAAAAATTTAAAAAATATAAGCTGGCCTGTAAAGACTTCCTTGCCTTCTGGAGAGACAGCCTTCAGCTCGTCCGGCTCGTCTATAAAGACGACCTCCGGCTCGTCTATAAAGACGACCTCCGGCTCGTCTATAAAGACGACCTCCGGCTCGTCTATAAAGACGACCTCCGGCTCGTCTATAAAGACGTCCTCCGGACTCGTCTATAAAGACGTCCTCCGGACTCGTCTATAAAGACGACCTCCGGCTCGTCTATAAAGACGACCTCCGGCTCGTCTATAAAGACGACTTCCGGCTCGTCTATAAAGACGACCTCCGGCTCGTCTATAAAGACGACCTCCGGCTCGTCTATAAAGACGATCTCCGGCTCGTCTATAAAGAAGACCTCCGGCTCGTCTATAAAGACGACCTCCGGCTCGTCTATAAAGACGACTTCCGGCTCGTCTATAAAGACGACCTCCGGCTCGTCTATAAAGACGACCTCCGGCTCGTCTATAAAGACAACCTCCTGCTCGTCTATAAGGAGGACCTCCGCCTCGTCTATAAAGAGGACCTCCGGCTCGTCTATAAAGACCTTTAGCTCGTCTTTAACGACAGCCTTCAGATCATCAAATAAGGCGACCTTCAGCTTGTCGAGAAGTACGAACTTCAGTTCCTCTAGAAAGACGTCTAGAAAGACGTCTAGAAAGACGGCCTTCAGTTCGTCTATAAAGGCAGCCTTCAGCTCGTCTAAAAAAACAGCCTTCAGTTCGTCTAGAAAGACCCATTTTCGGTCTTCTATTAGAACCCGGTTTCTATAATCTAACCTACCACAAAAGTGTTTTCCAAGCATGCGACAATGCTCCATAATCCGGTCGGGGTATGTATATAAAACGATTATAGGTTTGTTGTAGCAGTTTTTGATCTGCTTCCCAGGGTAAATTTGAGGTCCCAATAAACAATACTCGATCCTCGGGAGCTATATTCCGTATTAACTTTGGTAGATCTTTTTTCAAACGTTTCGGATCGGTACGATCGGTTTTGGGTATTTTCTTCATAAATGGTTTTTCCGCATCACCCATATAGATAACGGCTGGTTGAAGTAGTCTTGATACTTTCAACACCAAATGGATCAACATAATTAATCCCGATTTACCGGGATATTTTCCAACAATATTTGCTGGAGTTAAGTCGAACAGAACTGCCCCGACTTCAGTGCAAATGGCATGTAGCAGTGATTTCTTTCCCGATCCTTTGGGTCCCACCAACAATATGGAACGTATCAGTGGACAAGAGTTGTGTATCTGTTCAGAGCCGAGTGGTAAAATACAATATTCTGTGAGAATTTGTCGTATATCCCCGGGAGAGGGTTTTATACCATCTCTGGCGGTTAAGGCCTTATCGCCTAGGAATTGACTTAACTTTGTCTCGGGGTATTTTCTTATAATGCCATTTGTTACCAATTCTTCGTACAAGGATTCGGTGGTGCGATCGGGTGTCAAATCTTTTTCCTTCTTCTTTTTGCTTTTCTTGCCGGAGCGCCGCGCTTTTTTGTTATTCTTCTTGGCCTTTTTGCCTATGGCGGTCTGTCGATGGAAGGGAGAAGATATTAGAAAATTTTAAAATTTTATATTTGAGAATTGTTTCCGTTTTTTGTACCTGTAAAAGTTCCAATTCCTGTCGCATAACATCATCGACTACCCGTCGAAATTCTTTTTCCACTTCATCGTATTTTTCGGCATAAATCATGTCGTAGTAATGACTCTGTCGCATATTGCCGGATTCGTCTTTTTCACGCCAAACTTCGTTAAATCTGTAATGGGAGGTTTTAGGTTAGGGGAATTTGGGAAAAAATTTCCAGAGCTTTAGTTTGTCTATATGGATTTCAGCTCGTCTATATGGATTTACTGGGCTTCAGGTCGTCTTTATGGGCTCACCTCGTCCATATGGGCACACTGGATTTCGGCTCATCTTTATGGACTCGCTTGGCTTCAGCTCGTCCTATATGGGCTCACTGACTTCAGCTCGTCTATATAAACCAACTGGGCCTCAGCTCGTCTTAATGGACTCACTGGGCCTTAGCTCGCCAATATGGACTCACTGGGCCTCAGCTCATCACTGAGATTCAGCTCGTTTTATAGATTTACAGAGCTCCAGATCGTCTATATGGACTTACTGGCCTTCAGCCCGCCCATATGGAATCACTAGGCTTCAGCTCGTCTATATTGACTCATCTGTTCCAATGTTTTATCCCCCACCCCTTACCTTTCGATTTCCGCCCTTATATCTGGTAGACACATCGATTGTGCTGGCTGCAGCCCACCACCCTCTTCATCGGGATTTTCATTGACATTGAGGTCACCACTGCGTGCCGGCGATTTCGATTTGTCCTTGGTTTTACGTGACTCCTTTGATGATCGGGCCGATGAACGACTTACTTCACTTTCTGTGCCAGGTCTACTGAAGATATGCAACGATCCACCCTGATCTTCCGTGGGAAATTCTGGTAGTTTTCCAGTTTTGTCATAACAATCTTTAATCCATGCACGTATCTCATCGGCTATGTCTTCGGTCATGCTAGGGCCATGTTTGGTTGTAATTTCTTCACGTACCCGATCCAGAGTTGATTCATAGCTTTCTTGGAAGGCTTCTTGGGTGACATAGCGACGTTCGTAGATCTGAAAAAAATAAGTAAGGGATAGTGAGTTTATGAAAAGCGTTCTCCATTGAATGAATACTAATCTCCTCAATTTCGATCCCTTTTTATATTCTTGGTAAGCGTCAAGCCAGATTTTATACCCACCTCATTTAGTTTCTCCACCTTTTCCGCCCGGGCCTTTAGGACCGACGGTGGTGGCGGCACCATGCCAATTAATATCATTTCATCCAATTTCCGTCGCCTGGTCTTACGACGATCCGTATGGCCTCGCCACATTTTCTGTATCTTCATGGCAGCCAAGAGTCCAGCATCATTGCGATCTTTATCTTTTTCCTCATTCTTGCCCTTTTCCTTGAGCATACGTATCTCCTTCATGAAATGGGCTCGCAGTCGACCCTGGCGAGCCCTCTCATGCATTTGAATCAAACGAATTGCTTCGATTTCGGTTATTTGTTCCACTACCGGATTCTCCTCCACCCATCCCAGCTTCACAAGGATATCATGCATTGTCTTATTACGTTGTTCAATTTCCCGTCGTCGCTCACGCAGAAAATATCTTGGAACCCTCAACTCTGTATCGATGGGTGTTAGTTTAAGGCGCTCCACCACGGCATCATTGTAACTGAACTCCATCAGATCAATGTTAACCAAATCATGTTTCAGCTCAATTATCCTACCCAGACAGCCATTCAAGATGTTGCGTATCAGTTGACGTTTTTGGGGTTGTATCATCTTGTCGTAGACCTCTTCCAGACGATTGGCAATGCAAATATATTTCAAATAGAATTCATAGGTGGTAGCCTGAACAATGGCTTTGCGTGTGCTCTCGTCGCTGGCGACCGCATCCGTTCCACCTTGAGCGGCAATTGTTGTCTCAACATCTTGATTTTGTCTCTGGAAATCTTCAATGGCCAGTAGTTCGAGTTCATGTTGAGATAAATGCCATATTTCATTGTAGTAATTATTGGACATTGTAGTGTGGACGTCCGATGTGTTATTCCGCAGCCGGTTTCCTTGTGAATGTCAGTTGTGTTTGTTTGGCAGGCCAAGGAACCGGTGTCATGTTGCCATGGTTTCGTTGGGTTATTGTGATCCTACAAACAACATCTGGTTTCTGGTGTACCAAAACTCACCACACCTGTGGAAGCAAACGATTTTGTTAGGCTGCATCAAGGGCATAAGAATAAATGAAGGCCGTCGGAGGTTGTCTTTATAGACGAGCCGAAGGTCGTCGCTATAGACGAGCCGAAGGTCGTCGCTATAGACGAGCCGAAGGTCGTCGCTATAGACGAGCCGAAGGTCGTCGCTATAGACGAGCCGATGGTCGTCGCTATAGACGAGCCGAAGGTCGTCGCTATAGACGAGCCTGAGGTCGTCTCTATAGACGAGCCTGAGGTTGTCTCTATAGACGAGCCTGAGGTCGTCTCTATAGACGAGCCTGAGGTCGTCTCTATAGACGAGCCTGAGGTCGTCTCTATAGACGAGCCTGAGGTCGTCTCTATAGACGAGCCTGAGGTCGTCTCTATAGACGAGCCTGAAGTCGTCTCTATAGACGAGCCTGAGGTCGTCTCTATAGACGAGCCTGAGGTCGTCTCTATAGACGAGCCTGAGGTCGTCTCTATAGACGAGCCTGAGGTCGTCTCTATAGACTCTATAGGCGAGCTCCGGCTTGGAGGATAAACAATAACCGAAATCGAAGCAATTCTTTTGATTCAAATGCATGAGTGGACTTGGCAGGTTCGTTTGAGAGCCCATTTCATGAAGGAAATATGAATGTTCAAGGAAAAGAGCAAGAACGAGGAGAAGGATAAAGATCGAAATGTTGCTCTGCTCTGGGCTGCCATGAAAGTACAGAAAATGGGGCGTGGCCATACGGATCGTCGTAAGACCAGACGACGAAAATTGGATAAAATGATATTAATTGGCATGGTGCCGCCACCACCGTCAGTCCTAAAGAAGAAATTAAATGCAGTGGGTATAAAAACTGGTTGCTTATCAAAAAGGTAAAAACGACGAAAATGAGGTTATCAGTATTTCACCCAAGATGCATTCCAAGAAAGCTATGAATCAACCCTCGATCGTCTTAAAGAAGTCCTAAAGAAGAAATTAAATGAGGTGGGTATGAAAACTGGTTGCTTACCAAGAATGTAAAAAGGACGAAAATGAGGAGATCAGTATTCATTCGACGGAGAACTCCTTTTATAAACACTCTATTCTTTATTTTTCATTTAGATCTACGAACGTCGCTATGTCACCCAAGAAGCCTTCCAAGAAAGCTATGAATCAACCCTCGATCGGGTACTTGAAGAAATTAAAACCATGTCCGAAGACATAGCCGATGAGATACGTGCATGGATTAAAGATTGCTATGACAAAACTGGAAAATTACCAGAATTTCCCACGGAGGATCGGGGTGGATCGTTGCATATCTTTAGTAGACCTGGCACAGAAAGTGAAGTAAGTCATCGGTTCGTTCGTCAAAGAAGTCACGTAAAACCAAAGACAAATCGAAGTCGCCGGCACGCAGTGGTGACTTGAATGTCAATGAAAATCCCGATGAAGAGGGTGGTGGGCTGCAGCCAGCGCAATCGATGTGTCTGCCAGATATAAGGGCGGAAATCGAAAGGTAAGAGATGGGGAATAAAAGAATTGGTCATATGGGAGAAAATCAAAATTTTGAAGGCAGGAATACTTTGAGAAGCTATGAAGAAAGTAGTTTTATAACCGGGTTAAGGCAGGCAGTTTCAACGGAGAGCCGCAGAGATAAAGACGATCTGAGGCCCAGTGAGTCCATATAGGACGAGCTGAAGGCCAGTTTGTCCATAAAGATGAGCTGAGGCCCTGTGAGCCCATAAAGACGAGCTGAAACCCAGTTGCTCTATACAGGGCGAGATGAAAAAACTGCAACCAACTGAACTGAACTGCAGAATTTGGTTTTCTCCGATGAGAAAACATTCGTTGTCCAGCACTTTGTAAATAAACAAAATGATCATGTTTACTTACCAAAGAGGTCAGCTGAAAATGTGCACCTTCGATTGCCCACTAGAAAAAAAGAACTCAAGCGCCGGCCATGGTGATAATGTGGGCCGCCATAACAGCCGATGGTCGCTCTCCGCTCGTATTAATCGACCGTGGCATCAGAATAAATGCTGATTATTATCGCGACAATATTCTGGAGGGTGTATTAAAGCCTTGGGCACGCAAACATTTTAGCCGCAGGCCTTGGACATTCCAACAGGAAACAGCACTGTCGCGCGCAGCACGCACTGGCACCCAAGAGTGGTTATAAAATGAGGTTCCTCGCTTCATTTCCAGCGCACAATGGCCACCAAAACCTACGGATACCAATCCGTTGGACTATTTTGTCTGGAATATTTTGGAAAGCAAGGTTTGCACTAAAAATATCAAAATGTGTCGATCACCTCAAGCAATCGATTCGCCGGAAATGATCCAAAATACCGCAGAGCAACATTTGGGCAGCGTGTCACCGTTTCATTGGTCATAATCGTGCCAAAGTTGACCAATTCGAACCAATCCAAACATATTCTAAAATTTGATGGTATTTCCGACATATTTTGCTTTCATTCAATAAAATTAAAAAAAAGTAAAAATTATGGCGTTGGACTTTGTTGCAGTTTTTTTATTTCACCCTGTATAGACGAGCTGAAGGCCGTCTCTAAAAAAAGCTACGGGGTAGTAACAATTGTTCCTATTCACATATCTTCAAAGGAACCAAATTGCCTTCTTTCTCCCTCCTTAATTCCTTTCCATTAACAAAAACAAAACAAAGAAAAAACAAAACACATCATTTATTTTTTTGTTTTACACTAATATTTTATTTTGTTTCTTGTTGTTGTTTTCATTTTGTTTTATGTTTAAGTCATTTAATTTAATTCAAATACGTTGTTTTTGTTTACTGTGTGTATTTTTTTCATACAATAGTTGTTTTCTTTTTTTGTTTCAATTTTGTTCCATAATTTCTTTTTCAAAACTCGAATAAGTGAAATTTTCAATCAAAATATTAAATATTTTTTTGTAATATGTATGTATGTATGTTGTTTGTCTGTATGCTGTGGCCAAAAAGACTGTTGTCATTTAATTTCTAGTAACAGGACGAGAGTGGGGGGACACAAGTTGTAGTTGTAGTTTTTAGTTTTCTTCGATTTGGTGTATTCTATTGTTTTTTTGTTTTGTTGTAAGTAGAAATCTTCTATGTAAATAAAATATATATATGTATTTTTTATATATATTTATTTATAATATATATATGTATATATATAGAGATTGTAGGTTGTTGTTTATTGGTTCTATTTTTATTTAGAAAAACAAAATCGAAAACGAAAAAGATGATTGTTTTGGGGTTTTCAATTTGAAGAAGAATAGAAAAATGGATTTTGTATTTGGTTAAAATCAAAAAATGTGTATGCGTTGGCTAATATTTATATAAATTTATTAAAAAAAGAGAGAGAGGGAAAGAAGTTGAATAAAAATAAGAGGAAAATAGAAAAAATTTGCAAAAAAAAATAAAAATAAAACTTAAATTTACATACCTAAAAACTATAAAAAATAATAATAATTATAGAAAATATAATTTTTTATGTTATTAATATGTTAACAACAAAATAAATATATATAATAAAATCAACATGTTTGTTTTTTTTTTTTTTTTTTTGTAAAAGGGCTGTGTGTGCTATTTGTTTTTTGTTTTTAATTAATTATTAAAAAGAAGCTTGAAGCATTTGAAATTGGGAGATTCTAAACTTAGTTACACAAAAAAAATGTTAAAAGAAAAAATAATAAAACATACAAATTACAAATATTGGTATTTTTTATATATATTAATTTAGTATGTAAGAAATGTACAATTAGTTTAGTAAAAATGTGATTGTTTTTTTAATTTTTTTATTGTAAATCTTATTTAGGAAAATAATCTAAAGATTAACACATTGTTTTGCGTTTTTGTTTAGCATTTCATTTTTGTTTGTGTGTGTGTATGTACGTTAATTAAGGATACAATTGTGTTCTACAGTCAAGGAAAATAATTATTTAATTTATTAACAATGGACTGGGGGTATATTTTTGTGAAGCTGGGGTGAAGGTTAAATAAAAAGCAACCACTAGACAAAAAACTGGCAATTCAAAGCCACCGATCGGAACTGCATGATGGGAATATAATCGCAAAAAATATATTGAAATAAAATTTGATAACAAAACTCGCCCTAAATCTGCCCAAAAAATTGGGGTCAATTTTCAGTTTTCGGTTTAATTTTCACTCAGTAATATAGGGAGAGACGGAGGTCAGAAAGTTGCATAAATTGAGAGTACTCCAAAAGCTGCGCCGGATACCGTACTAGAATCATTCCAATTCGGTTTAATTCCTCTCTAAGTACTATAGGCTTAGCCGGAGAGACAGAATCCAGAAAGCTGCATAAATTGAGAGTATTCCAAAAGCAGCCCCGGACACCGTACTAAGATCAAGGCAATTATGTAACTCTCTTACGTCAGCATAAATCATATGCTTTCGTTGCAGTACCTGCTTGGGTGTTATCTTGGGTGTCATCCTAACCACCATATGGTGGACAGAAATCCCCCACCCAGGCGTGTCAGGAAGGACCTGCATGATCTAGAGAGAGAGGTCCAGCGATATAAGAGAGAGAGAGCCCCAAGATCATGAAGCCTACCAAGCGAATCTGAATAGCATTCATACTGATTCAGTCGCAGAGGTAGTAAACAATTACAGTAGGAATGCCATCCTCGGAGTCCGCCCCTCTTTCTTTCTCCTAACTTTTAGTGATTTTGTTTTGGCAAGGTACCGGGTATAGCATACACCGGATTTACAGTATGTTTGCCCTTGATTTTGTGTAGAACTATAAGCATAGTCTGATGAATAGATAGAAAACATAAAGTTAGTTTTGTCTTTGTATGCAGGTGGTTCTCAGTAAGCTTTTGAATAGTCAACATGCTGATTGACTTCATAATCGACTTCGAAAACACATTTCATCGTTTTGCAAGAATTTCACTTGATTATTCCGGAACATTTCATTGTCATCACTTAATTTTCACTTATCTTTTATTGTGCAACAACAATTTTCTGTAGGATAACATAAACTGTAGGATATTTGTCTGTTGAAAATTGGTACAATAATGGATCTGCGGACACGTCGCACAGTAATTCAGAAGAGTCCTTTTCGGCAAATTTTGAGCGCATAATAATATTTTGAACAAACGAAAGCACTCCAGGCTTTCACTCAGCGAAAATATCACTTCAGGCTTTTCTATAACGCAAAATCATATGTTTACATTTTTTCAAAATTATTCGTCTGACAACATCTCCTTGTCAATATTTATATTTAAAAATCCATTGGATACACAGAAATCAGGGATGGAAACCCCTTTTTTATTCAGTGAAATTTGACAAGGTAAATTACAGAATCAGGGATGGATATGCCTTTTGGAAATGACTTTATCTTCTTAATTTTACCATGGATCTATTCCTGGCATTCACAAGGAATGGAAGAAAATATCCAACGCTGGCATGAAATCTTTGTGAAGTTAGAATGGTGGAGGAGAATCCAGTTGTGGAACAAAAAATCGAAATGGAAGCTTTACGTTTGATACAAATGCATGAGAGGGCTCGTCAAGGTCGACTGGAAGTCCACTTTATGTAGCAAAAAAATACAAATTCACAAGGATAAGGACAAAAATGAGTAGATCTATAAAGATCGCAACAATGCTGGACTGCTGGCTGCCATGAAGATACAGTAAAGGCGGTGTGTTTATACGTATCACCGGAAAACATAGCGACAAAAATAAGATGACATGATATTAATTGGCATGGTGCCGCCACCACCATCTCTCCTAAAGGATTGGATGGAAAAATTAAATGAGATGGGTATGAAAAAGGGTATCATATAATTGAGGTTATCAAGTGGATTCTCTAAAGGTGACTCCTGGGGCCAAAATTGTCTCAAACGATATTGAAAAAAATATCAGTCTAAATGAATTCGATTTATACCTCATACATGTCCATCAAAATTTCCATTTTCATCTATCTAAGGTGGACATCCCAACTAACTAATTCATTAATATTTTGCGACAATCACCAAAAACAATAGGCTTCTTATTTCAAACTGACCCAAACTCTATGCAAAACTTTGTGAGAATCGGAACATAATTGCGATCTGCAGCGTGATTAAAAACTAACATGGGCAGAAGGGCGGACATGCATAACTAGATCAATTTAACTCGGCTATATATATAGGAAGATTGATCTATAACATCATGGGTCTAGGACAAATAATTCGAGGTGTTACAAACTTTGTGGTCCATAATATTATATCTCCAACATATGGTGTGTAGGGTATAATTTAAATCTGCTTACTTAATGATGAACCCTATATCGATAATAGTTTTCGGGGTTTATTATGCATATTCTTTAGTTTCAAAATTGGTCTGTTCCAGAACGACAAGAATGTAAAAGTTTTTACTATGATAACAGATTTTTGCTTTATGATATCGAAAAAGAAATTGCAAAACTAGTAGATTCTATAAGGTTCTGTCTACTATCGAATTTCACATATATAAATTAAGGAGTGCGTACACAAGCAGCTTCACATGGCATATTTTGTGACATATCTTAAAGGAATGCCAGAGCCGCGCACTCGCATCCTGCCGTCGTTTCCCCTTATAATTTGACATTAATATGTATGCTTAGCCATGATGCTAATCAGCTCATGTACCCTCACCTTTAGAAATCAGGTTTGAGGAAAATTTAAATTTCCTGCCCACGAAAATCGAATTCTGGTTTGAGTTTTTATTCTATCCTTAATAAATGACAAAAGGAAATAATCAACCTTTGATTTCCTCGAATCTACATTAATCATCGATTTATAATTTCTTCAGTGGTATTTCAGAATGAATTTGATCCCTTTTTTAGGTTTGACCTGTTGCAGTTAGATGTGTGCGTTTTAAATTTAATATTTCGCAGGCGTACGCTTCTAGAGTAAAGTTTGCGTAAAGTACATTTTTGGTAGAGAAAGAGAGGGCCGACATATATGTGACCTCTATCAATTTCCATTTTTTTAATAAAACTTGATTTTCTTTTCAGTAAACTTTCCCTTCTCTTTAATGATTTAATAGAAAGTGGTTTAGGCTAATTTTTAAATTATCAACAATATCCATTTAGCTGGATAATTTCGAATCAATCTCCATCATACTCAACGTCAAAGGAAGTGGCCTTGTTTTTTGTCCAAAAAATCCCGGGGGGTTCCACAATAAGAAAGAAATTAAGGTTCTATAACGCGACTGGCTTTTTAACAAAATAGGATTTTGATTTACACTTTTTTATAAAAAACACAGAGTGTAAACATTAAATATTTTTTGTTTTGTGTTATTGTTGCTGTTGTTTTCTTTAAGCTTAAGCTTACATCTAAAGGAAAATTGTGTGTTTAAATAAGTGTGGCTGTTTGTTTGTTTGTGGTATAGTTTGTTTTGATTTCTCCTTCGAAAAAAAGAAATTTGGAGGGGCTTTTTGTTTTTTAGGTATTGTTGTTGTTGGCATTGTTTTATTAAAACAAAAAATAAAATAAACAAAAAAAGAAACAGACATTTAAAATTGGTTGTTATTGTTGCGTTAAGTAGTTGCCTTATGTAGCCGCCTGTTTGTTTTTTTTTTCAAATCATTAACTTTTAAGAAAGGTAGAGAGGTATAGGATAGGGGTGGGGGATGTATTTATGTTAATTTATATAATATATAAATGATTATTAGTTATAATGTTGTTGCTGTTGGGTTTTTACATAACATTTCTTCATGTTGTTGTTGTTTGATCTTAATTTTAAATTATTATTAATTATGATTATTATTTTACTTGTTGTTGCTGTTATAATTATTTATATTGTTTTTTCTTAGTAATAATATAAAGAATAATTATTTAATTATTAATATTAATATTATTATAATTATTATTGTTGTTGTAATATATACTTTTCATTTCTGTTAAATAGTTGTTGCTGTAAATACACATTCACTTTTCACGTTGTCGTTTTTTTTCTCTTTCTCTCTGTCTCGAGAAAGAAAACTGATTTGTATATCCTTAGTTAGGTATATATATATGCATGTTTTTTATGTTTTTATATATATAAATGGTGTTTTGTTTTTAATTCTTGTTGTTGTTGCTGTTGCAATCTCTACTTAGTATGTTGTTATCATATTTTCGTTAAGTGTGTCTGTGTGTGTTATTATAATAATATTTATTATACTTTTACATTGTAACAGCTGCTGCAGGGGTTGGTTTTCGTTATCTCTTTATTTTCTTAAAAGGTGGTAGTGGTGTTGTTGTTGTTGTTGTAGTAGTTGCTTTTACGCTATTGGCAATAACTCATCTTTCACGCTGTATTATTTTTCAAATGTAAAAGTTTCACTTTTAGTTCAGCAAATGTGGGTCGTTTGGCAGGATTAAGGTCCCAGGCTTGTCTCATCATTTCATAGATCTCGGGAGGACAACCCTCGGGAGCTTCCATTTTATAGCCGACTTCAACGTGTTTCACAACATCGGTTAATGGCTGAAATGAAAGGAAGAAACAGGAAATAATAGTTAGTATTTCTAAAATGAAAAATGTTGCTAAAACAAGTAAAAAACATTAAGTCCGGTCGGGACAAACTTTTAATACCCTCCACCATTGGCTAAAGAAAACATTTTTATATAAAAGAATCTGAGTTCAAACGTGTTCCACTTTAAACTACAAATACCAGTAAGACCGTATTATAATGGTGTTAAACTTTTCAAAAAACCATAAAGTGGGTGAGGTCGTTATATGGGGGCCATATCAAATAGAGAAAGTCTCTAGACTAGTTTATACTTCAAGGATTGTCATCTACCATATCTTCTTAAATACCAAATATGAAACAATTTCGTGGGTAAATGTGACTGGTTTATCAAAATACAGAATATAGGAGGATATCGTGGACATAAGAATTCAATGTTCTGCCACCGGAGCTAAAAACCCATTATGACATACAAATACCATTTTTTAGACAAATTCGTGAAAACATGTGGCGAAAATCATCAAAAACCCGGATATCGGGAGGTACCTTAATATGGCGGCTATACCAACAATATTACTTAAACCAAGGCCTATATAAAATCGGCCAGTAGGTCCATTTGCCTACTAACTTTGCTGTCAAAAACATAATTGCGATTTGAAATTGAAGGAGTAGGTCGACATTTTCATTTCATTTTGGAAACCAAAACTCTTTTGGTTTGATTTACAAACTGAATATCCTGGATTTTACAAACCTGCAGACTGGCTGTTTACAGTGCAATTTTAAGAAAGAAATAATGGTGGAAAAAAGAGCGCTATACACGGCTAGAAATTTTGCCGTGATGTCTTTAGCTACTTAAGTCATCGGGATAATTGAAGTAGTTAGTGTTAGAGAACGAAGACAAATCATTTGCCACTAGTTCCCAAACTGTGCCACTTGTTCCCCCACCAACCTGTGCCACTTGTTCCCCCACCAACCTGTGCCACATGTTCCCCCACCAACCTGTGCCTCATGTTAATGAGTGCTGGACAGTGGCAGAGAAAATATTCGATCGTCTCAATTTCTTCCTCGTCTTAACAGATTCTACAGTAGTCAATATCATTTCGAGGTCATTGCCCTCACCTTGCAGTGATCTGTTAGAGAACGAAGATAAATCATGTGCCAATTGTTCCCCCACCAAACTGTGCCTCATGTTAATGAATGCTGGACAGTGGCAGAGAAAATGTTCGATCGTCTCAATTTCTTCCTCGTCTTAACAGATTCTACAGTAGTCAATTTCATCGCTGTCCCATTTCGAGGTCATTCCCCTCACCTTGCAGTGACCTTTGATGATACCCACCATAAGTTTTAAAACAAGTACCAACAAGGACAGTAGTTCCCTTCTCCCAGAGTCTTGGTCAGATTCTTTTGGAGATGTTGCACGCCCTTTCTTCCAGCCATTTTTGTTGAATTCTCTCAGAGTAGTGTCTATGAATTACCTGTGGAGGTGGAATAGGGGTGGTTTGGCCGAATTCTCAATTTCGATGTTAGCTGATTCGGACCTTAGCCTAGCCAATCCGTCTGCAGTCTCGTTGTCTGGAATATTTTAATGACCAGGAACCCAACAGAGCTTGATAGCCAACCTAGTGTTTTCCAAGGATCTTCTGCAGTCTCAAACAACTTTAGACTTAATGTTACTACCTCTTGACTATCAACGTATATAGTCACCGGACTGCTAACCTCGTTGTTCCTCGTGATCAACAGGTCCATGGCTTTTTTGATTGAGTAGGTTTGGACTCCGATTTGAACCGTATTAAATCCATAAACAAAAACTCCGACTATAATTTCCACTTTAATACATACATTTCGAATGTAATTTTCTCAAAAACTATTATTCCTGAATATATGGTTTATTCTGAGATTTATAGTGAAATTTGGTGTGGAATATTTCCTCCTTTGACACTTTCTGTCTAAAACTAAATTTTAGGATACTTTCATGCATCAGCTTGAAAATAGATCGTAGAAAAATCCATCAATTTTTTTTTTTGCAAATTCGACGCAAGTATTTTCTAGATATATAATGGAAATAGGGATTTATTTTCTTTGATGGCTTATAGTGAAATTTGATGGGGAATATTTCTTTTTTTTTGACAATTTAACCCAAAAATCTAATTTTTTATATATATATATATATATATATATATATATATATATATATATTTTTTTTTTTTTTTTAATTTGGCAACATTGACACCAATATTTTCTTGTATATATTAGAAATAGAGACTTCTTTTCCTTAGTGACTTATAGTGAAATTTGGTGTTTAGTATTTCATCCTTTGACACTTTCTGTCTAACACGAAGTTGTATGTTACTTTTCAGACCCCAACTCGAAAACCTACCAAAGAAGTATCCATGAAAATGAATAAGAATTATTTTCGTGTTTTTAATTGGCAAAAATGAATGAAGTATTCTCGTAAAATATAATGGAAGGGAAGGAAGGGGTTCTTCACTTTGGTGACTCATAGTGAAATTTTGTGTTTTGACATTTTCTGTATAAAACCAAGTATTATGTTACTTTCAGCCTTCAACTCGAAAAAATACCCATGAAAAGAAATATAAAATATTTCTGTTTTTTTTTTTAATGTAAACCAATATTTTCGTGATATATAATGGATATTGGGATTTCTTTTCATTGGTGAACTTCAGGGAAATTTAATATAAAATATTTTTGTCTTCGGTATTATCCTTCTAAAATGACGTTTTTAAGAAGAATTTTACCTAAACTCACATAAGTATGGCTTAACCTCTAAAATGTGTTTTTAATGCTTATAAATTCCTGAAGTTTATGTACGATTCGGAATTTTGACGTATAGTAGAATTTTATGACAAATAAGTTTGCAGAATACGTTGCGTTAAAATGGAGTTATAACCATTTTTTTGAAAAAGTTCCAAAAAATCCTTTTAATTTCAGTGAATTATTGAGAATAGACATTCCTTATATCTATTGGAAATGGAGTCTATATAGATGAGGGCCAGCGCTTTTAGAATACCAACATTTCTTCCACATTAAGAATTTCAACAGATTCTTCTATATTTTAAAGATATACTTTTTTCAAAAAGAAAACTTGTAATACTTACAATTCTAGGATAAGGAACACGACCAAATGAATAAATTTCCCATAATAAAATGCCAAAACTCCACATATCGGATTTATTAGAGAAACGCTAAAAGAAAAAAGATTTCAAAACAATTAATTAAATATTCAACTTATAAACCTAAACAACAAAACCTACCCAATTTTTCAATGCCTCGGGGGCAGTCCATTTAATTGGCAATTTCCCGACATCTAGATTATAGCATTCCTCACGGGCCAAACCAAAATCGGATACCTTGGCAACGCAATCTTCCGAAATGAGAACATTGCGGGCAGCCAAGTCACGATGAACAACCTTTTTCGCTTCCAAATATTCCATACCGGAAGCCGTGTCACTAAAAGATGAAATCATTTTTGTCATATATATAGCCTACAGAAGATAAAGTACAATTGTATACTCACTAAGCAAAATTGATTTGATCCTTTTTAGTTATATGCTGTCGTCCCCGCGATCTTAGATAATCAACCAGTGATCCTTTGCTCATATATTCCGTAACCAAATACAGATGTTTACTAGTGAAGACTAAACCAATGAACTTCACTAGATTTTCATGTTCCAGTGTTCTGTGAAATCGCAAGAGAGAATATTATTTCAAGTTGTTTCAAATACTTTAAGACTGGAAAATACTCACGTCATAACTGAAGCCTCTGCTAAGAATTTCTGTACAGCTCCCTCGTCTTTAAGCATTTTTACAGCCACTTTTTCATTGCGCAGTATGCCCAACATAACATCACCAAATTCACCCTTGCCTATGCTCTCGCGTAATTGTAAATCCGATTCGGGTATAACCCAACCTTTGTCAATGAAATCTTTCGAATTAATGCAGTATTCCTGTTTACCCTGTTTGGGTAAACATTTTACCAGTTGTGTACACAGACCATCGGCATCGGCTTCATAGTGCTGAAGAGGGAAGGGAGAAAGAAGAAAATTAAATAACTTAAACATAAATGAAAAATCAAAGGTTTGCAAACATGGAACTCATGGTCAGGAATGTATAAAGAGCCCATTTAGATGAGTTAAAAGCGAGCAAAAGGGGAGAAAAGGTGAGACTTTACAGACGAGAGAAGGGTAGTCTGTACAGGCGAGAGAAGGGCAGTCGTCTTCATAGACGAGCTGAAGGCCAGATCGCCTCCATAGACGAGCTGAAGGCCAGATCGCCTCCATAGACGAGCTGAAAGCCAGATCGCCTCCATAGACGAGCTGAAGGCTAGATCGTCTCCATAGACGAGCTGAAGGCTAGATCGTCTCCATAGACGAGCTGAAGGCTACATCGTCTCCATAGACGAGCTGAAAGCTAGATCGTCTCCATAGACGAGCTGAAGGCTAGATCGTCTCCATAGACGAGCTGAAGGCTAGATCGTCTCCATAGACGAGCTGAAGGCTAGATCGTCTCCATAGACGAGCTGAAGGCTAGATCGTCTCCATAGATGAGCTGAAGGCCAGATCGTCTCCATAGACGAGCTGAAGGCCAGATCATCTCCATAGACGAGCTGAAGGCCAGATCGTCTCCATAGACGACCTGAAGGCCAGATCGTCTCCATAGACGACCTGACCTGAACGCCAGATCGTCTCCATAGACGACCTGAAGGTCAGATCGTCTCAATAGACGGCCTGAAGGCCAGATCGTCTCCATAGACGACCTGAAGGCCAGATCGTCTCCATAGACGACCTGAAGGCCAGATCGTCTCCATAGACGAGCTGAAGACCAGATCGTCTCCATAGACGAGCTGAAGGCCAGATCGTCTCCATAGACGACCTGAAGGCCAGATGGTCTCCATAGACGAGCTGAAGGCCAGATCGTCTCCATAGACGAGCTGAAGGCCAGATCGTCTCCATAGACGAGCTGAAGGCCAGATCGTCTCCATAGACGAGCTGAAGGCCAGATCGTCTCCATAGACGAGCTGAAGGCCAGATCGTCTCCATAGACGAGCTGAAGGCCAGATCGTCTCCATAGACGAGCTGAAGGCCATATCGTCTTCATAGACGAGCCGTATTTATAGTCCTGGAGAGTTTTTATAAGAGTCTTTATAGGCGTCCTCGAGAGAGTCTTTATAGACGGCCGGTATTGAGTCTTCATAGACAGCCTGGATGTCATCTCTATAAATCGATTGGAGGGAGTCTTCATAGACGACAGATCGAGTCTTTATAGACGATCTAGAGGGAGTCTTCATATATGACCTGGACCGAGGCTTAATAGATGGCCTGGAGGAAATTTTTATAGACGATCAGGAGGAAGTGTTTACAGATGACATGAGGTAAGCCTTTATATACGACCTGAAATGAGAGTCTGGCTGAAGGTCGTCTTTGTAAAATGACAAAAGGTCGCCTCTCTTCTTCTCTTCGTTTGCAGACGAGCAAACGAGCTGAAGGTAGTCTCTATGAACTGACTGAATGTCGTTTCTAGAGTCTCGCTGAAGGTCTTTTGTATGAACTGGAAGAAAGGCCGTCTCTCTTTTTGTCTTCGTTTGCAGATGAGTGAAAAGTGTAATTTTTTAACCGCTTACTTACCGCTACTAGTTGACCCAAATTTTCAAAATATTCTTCATCGTCAATGGTTAGCTTATTTTCCAAATATTTCACGCGATAATGCTCAACCTTACCCTGGAAGCATACACAGAGCGTATAGTCACCAGGAAAGTTGGTCGATTCTCGCACTAGAAACAGGCCATCTTCGCGGGGCTGTAGCAAGTGTTCGGCCTCGTCACGGGTAATGCTGCCATGGAACCACCTACAAAAATCAAATTTCATATTAAATTCAAATGAATTTAAAGAACATTCCATCTCTACTTACGGCATTGCATTCAATTTAACCTCACATTTTTTGTGCGGTTGCTGTTGGCCAACATGATGATTGGGTGCCATGCCCGATGTCGGTGATAGGGAGGGGGTTGCCCATGTCTGGGTGCCAACACCAACGGGATTACCACCGCCAACAACTGCAGCGCCATTTATGTCAAAACTATGCAATGATGTCGTCATAGCCGAACCACCTGCTCCGACATTGGCTCCCGCCGGATTTATGACCAATGACGACGTTTGATTGGGATGATGATGCTGCTGCTGTTGTTGTTGCTGTTGCTGGGCGGGGTGTTGTGTATGAAGTAACATATTGCTACCACCGCCGGCATTTGCTGTTAGACCCATACCTTTGGGTGGTAGGCCACGTTCGTGCAGTGACATGCCAGTGCTGTGGGCAGCATTCAATGAAGACGACATCAGATTATTGTTGCAATTATTGGCCGCTGCTGCGGCATTTAATAATTGCATATGCTGTTGTTGTTGCTGTTGGGTGACACTGGCCACTGCGGCGGCCGTAACAGATGATGCCGTCGACGCGGAACCGACAATGGGAGTAAATGTTGACATTAAACTGTGGGATTGTTGCTGTTGCTGCTGCTGTGGATGTTGATTTGGCGATTTGGGTGAATGATTGGCAGCGGCATTTATAATACCACCACCAGCCAGAATAGTGCTGCCTCCTCCGCCTCCAGCAACACCTGTTGCATTTGTTATATGACTATTAAGTGCATGCGAGGACAAGTGAATCGCATTGTGATGTTGATTCTAAAAATTAGAAAAAAAAAGAAATGATAAAATTATTAAAAAAAATTGTCAATGAGATTTGAAAATTTGTAGAGAAAGAGTGCAGAGGGGTGTGCGGAAGGTTAACAGGAATGAATGAGGATGGGCATGAATTGTGGTTATTGACACAAAGGTCTTAAGAGATACACAGAAGAGAGTCTTTACAGAATTAAGGAAGGAGTATTTATGGACGAGCGGAAGGAAGTTTCAATGGACGATCTGCAAAGAGAATCTGTATGGACGAGCTGGGAATGGAGTTTTTGTAGAGAAGCTGATAGAAGTCTTTACAGTCAACGTGGAGGGAATCTTTTTTTTCTTTTTTAGGAAAGAATGAGAATGAAAATGGACATGAATTGTGGTTATTGACCAAAAGATCTTTATGGAAGGACGGAAAAGCGTTTTTATAGACTTGCGGAAGGGGTATTTACGAACGAATGGAAGTAAGTTTTAATAGACGATGTGCCAAGGGAATCTGTATGGACGAGATGGGAAAGGAGTCTTTGTAGAGAAGATGGAAGGGAGTCTATACAGACGAGGTGTAAGGAATCTTCCGAGACATGCAGGGAAAGTTCTCTTTATCGGAAGAGCTAGGAAGATAGTCTTTACAGACGGCTTGGAAGAAGTCTTTATAGATAACCTGGAAGGAGAATTTATAGACCACCTGGATTGAGTCTTTATAGACGACCTGTGGGGGGGGGGTCTTTAGAGACAGTCTGAAGGGAGTCTTTATAAACGACCTGGAAGGAGACTTTATATACAGCCTGGTGAAGTCTTTATAGACGGAGCTGGTGGGAGACTACATACAACCTGAAGGGAGTATTTACAGGCGATATGTAGTGGTCATTATAGACGAACTGGAGGTATTTTTTATAGACTGCCTGGGGGAGCGTTTATAGACGGCCTGGAGGGAGTTTTTATCGACGACCTGGATGGAGACTTTATCGACTACCTGGAGGGGGTCTTTATAGACAACCTGGGAGGAGTCTTTATAGACGACCTGGAAGGAGTCTTTATAGACAACCTGGGAGGAGTCTTCATAGTCGACCAGAAGGAAATCTTTATAGATAACCTAGAGGTATTCTTTATAGACAACCTAGAAGTATTATTTATAGACTGCCCGGGGGAATCTTTATATACGACCTGGAGGGAGTCTTTATAGACGACCTGGGTGTCTTTATAGACATCCTAGAGGGAGTCTTTATAGACACCCTAGAGGGATTCTTAATAGACTGTCTGGGGGAATCTTTAGTCTTCATAGACGGCCTGGAAGGAGTCTTTATAGAAGACCGGAAGGGAGTCTTTATAGACAGCCTAGAGGGATTCTTAATAGAATGCCTGGGGGAATCTTTATAGACTGGCTGGCTTGATAGACTACCTGAAGGGTGCCTTTATAGTCTGGAGGTCTGAAGGGTGTCTTTATAGACGGTCTGGAGGGAGATTTAAAGGGCCGCCTGGAAGGAGCCTTTTTAGACGGCCTGGAGGGAATTTTTATAAACGACCCAGAGAGTCTTTTTAGATGGTCCGGACGAAGTCTTTATAGACGGCCTGGAGGGAGTCTTTATAGACGAACTGGAGGGAGTGTTTATAGACCACCTGGAGAGATTTTTAATAGACCACCTGAAGGGAGTCTTTATAGACGGCCCTGAGGGAGTCTTTATAGGCCCTGGAAAGTCTTTACAGACGGCCTCCTAGAGGAAGTCTTTATAGACGGCCTGGAAAGATCTCTATAGATGGCCTAGAAGGAGACTTTATAGACGAGCTGAGGGAGTCTTTAAAGGCGAGTTGAGGAAGCTTTTACGGCAAAGCTGAGGGAAGCTAGAGGAAGTCTTTATAGACGGCCGGGAAAGGGTCTCTATAGATGGCTTAGAAGGAGACTTTATAGACGAGCTGAGGTAGTCTTTAAAGGCGAGTTGAGGAAGCTTTTACGGGAAAGCTGAGGGACTCTGTATAGACGAGTTGGAGGGAGCCTTTATAGACTGCCAGGAAGGTGTCCTTATAGACGGCCAGGAAAGAAAAACGATCGGGGAAGAGAAACTGAGTACTCTTCATAGACGAGCTGATGGTCAGGGAGTCTCTATAGACAATCTGAAAGTTTTTATAAACGAGCTGATGGAATCTTTACAGGCGATTTGAGGGAGCCTTTAAGGGCAAGCTAAGGGAGTCTGTATAGACGAGCTAGAGGAAGCCTTTATAGACGGCCAGGAAGGAGTCCTTATAGACGGCCAGGAAGGAGTCCCAAAAGGCGATGGGCGAAGAGAAACTGACTACTCTTCATAGACGAGCTTGTCAGGGAGTCTCTATAGACAATCTGATAGACACAGAATCTCTATAGACGAGCTAATGGCCAGGGAATCTCTGTAGACAAGCTGATGACCAGGAGAAACTGCCTACTTTTCATAGACGAGCTGAAGGTCAGAGGGTCTCTATAGACAATCTGATACACAGATAATCTCTATAGACGAGCTAATGGCCAGGGAATCTCTGTAGGCAAGCTGATGACCAGGCATTTCTATAGGCAAGCTGATAGGTAGGGAGTTCCTTAGAGAGGAACTGATGTCTGGGAATCTTTTAGAGAAACTAGGGGTTTTTTTAAAGACGAACTGAAGCCGGGGAGTCTTTTAGAGACGAACTGAACCCATTAACTCTTTTAGAGACGAACTGATACCAAGTATTATTTTAAAGACGAACTGAAGCCAGGGAGTCTTTTTGAGACGAGAGACAAAATGAAGCCGGAGAGTCTTTCTATAGATAAGCTAAAGGCATAAGGTCTCTTTATGGATAAGCTGAGAAGAGAGAATTTACAGACGTTCTGGAAAAGGTGTCTCTTTATAGACGACTTGAGTAGGTATTTATAGGCTCCAATATTTTCCAAATTAAATATTGGCATTTACAGGTGGTTCAGGCCCAAAGTTTAGTTATAGATGGCTTTCTTCTTTTCACAAAAGATCCTCCATAGGAACCTTTCCATTCAAAGAAATCCTTTTGCGCTTCTTCAGGGGATAGAAAAAAATTCTTTGGTCTTTAAAAAATGGAGAACCCTTCTCCCTTCTCTACAACAAAATAATGTCATGTATGTGTATGTGTGTGGGTGTGTGTGTGTGTATTTTACATGTATTACCACATTGTTATGATGAGATGACGCTGATGATAAATTGCCTGATTGTGCTACAATATGGGGTTGGGATTGGCTAAATTGCTGTTGCAATGTGATATTGCTGGCGATGATGGGAACACCACCACCAACACCGACACCAATGCCGGCTAGGCCGCCAACACCACCGCCGCCGATATTACCAATGCTGCCACCACCCCCGCCTATACCACCACTTACACTGTTATTGGCTAGCAAACTATTTGGATTGTTGGGTCCACCAGCAGCCGCCGTTACCGGCTGCGGTGCTGGACGTTTATTATGACGCAATGGGGCCGTTGGTGGCATCTGATGCCCGGTTGATTGCAAAAACCATGGATCACCGCCCGTGCTCGATGTTGCCACCGTTACCGTTGGCTGGGAGAAACCGCGATGATGACCAACGATTGTTGTTTGTCCGCCGTTTTGTGTGGCCGTTGCGTGACTATTCATAACTGTCGTCTGGGAACCTGGGCTATTCGCAGTTGCTGCGGCTGTTGCTGGCGACTGCGATGATGGATTGTTGTCGTTTTTGCTTTTGTTGTTGTTATTATTGTTGTTGTTATCGGGATTTGTTAACCTCTGTTGTGCTAAGGATACTGACGATGAAAAATTTGTGCTGGAAAAGTCTTTTTCTTCTTCTTTGGCAACTTCCTTTCTCTCCGGATTTTCTACAGCTGTGCCATTAGATCTTTCGTTTCTACTTAGATTGCTATTGTTGGTGTTGTTGGTAATTCCTGTATCGGTTGCTTGATCATGGAGGGATTTGGTGTTGACGTCACTGTTGTTTTTATTGCTTTTCTTTATGGGTGTTTGGTCTGCGTTTGAATCCTTGACAGGACAACCATCTACAACATCATTGGAAGTCTTTAGATTTTCTTTAAGGGGATTTGTATTTTCCTTGGTGTCTGGTAGTGCGTCTTCATCTGAAATGAAATGAGAGAAGAGAGAAAGTTTGTGAGCTAAGCAAAAATTAGGGAGAGAGCGGGTAGTTATAAATATTTTCAAGGCGAATAAAAAATTATGAAAGGATTATGTTTGGAGTATCCTTAAAATTTGTCGTGTAGGGAGTTGTTGGTGGATGGATGGTCTGGGTTTGAAAAATGCTAACAAAAAAAGTAAGAAAGGTGCAAAACAATTCATTTGCTACAAAGGAGTTGGAGGATGTCTTCAGATGAGTTGGAACGGAATCTCTTCACACGACCTGAAGGGAGTCTTTACATACAATCTAGAGATAGTCTTTACAGACGACCAGAAGCGAGTCCTTACAGACGACCTGGATGGAGTATTTACAGACGACCTGGAGGGAGTCTTTACAGACGACCTGGAGGTAGTCTTTACAGACGACCTGGAGGTAGTCTTTACAGACAACTTGGAGGGAGTCTTTGTAGAAGAGCTGGAGGGAGTCACTCCTCTTTATAGATAAGCTGTAAGGCGACTTTATAGACGTCTCTTTAGACGATATTGAGGCCGCCTCTATGGAGGAGCTGAAGGTCAGATCGTCTCCATAGACGAGCTGAAGGTAAGATCGTCGCCATAGACGAGCTGAAGGCCAGATCGTCGCCGTAGACGAGCTGAAGGCCAGATCGTCTCCATAGACGAGCTGAAGGCCAGATCGTCGCCATAGACGAGCTGAAGGCCAGATCGTCGCCATAGACGAGCTGAAGGCCAGATCGTCGCCATAGACGAGCTGAAGGCCAGATCGTCTCCATAGACGAGCTGAAGGCCAGATCGTCTCCATAGACGAGCTGAAGGAAATAGACGAGCTGAAGGAAATAGACGAGCTGAAGCCCAGATCGTCTCCATAGACAACCTGATGCCCAGATCTTCTCTACAGACTAAGTGAAGCCTGTCTCTATAGACCAGCTGAAGGGCTGCCTCTATAGACCAGTTAAGGGCTGCCTCTATAGACCAGCTGAAGGGCTGCCTCTATAGACCAGTTAAGGGCTGCCTCTATAGACCAGTTAAGGGCTGCCTCTATAGACCAGCTGAAGGGCTGCCTCTATAGACCAGTTAAGGGCTGCCTCTATAGACCAGTTAAGGGCTGCCTCTATAGACCAGCTGAAGGGCTGCCTCTATAGACCAGTTAAGGGCTGCCTCTATAGACCAGCTGAAGGGCTGCCTCTATAGACCGACTGAAGGGCTGTCTCTATAGACCAACTGAAGGGCTGTCTCTATTGACCAGCTGAAGGGCTGTCTCTATAGACCAGCTAAAGGGCTGTCTCTATAAACCAGCTGAAGGGCTGTCTCTATAGACCAGCTGAAGGGCTGTCTCTATAGACCAGCTGAAGGGCTGTCTTTATAGACCAGCTGAAGGGCTGTCTCTATAGACCAGCTGAAGAGCTGTCTTTATAGACCAGCTGAAGGGCTGGCTCTATAGACCAACTGAAGGGCTGTCTCTATTGACCAGCTGAAGGGCTGTCTCTATAGACCAGCTAAAGGGCTGTCTCTATAAACCAGCTGAAGGGCTGTCTCTATAGACCAGCTGAAGGGCTGTCTCTATAGACCAGCTGAAGGGCTGTCTTTATAGACCAGCTGAAGGGCTGTCTCTATAGACCAACTGAAGGGCTGTCTCTATTGACCAGCTGAAGGGCTGTCTCTATAGACCAGCTAAAGGGCTGTCTCTATAAACCAGCTGAAGGGCTGTCTCTATAAACCAGCTGAAGGGCTGTCACTTGGACCAGCTGAAGGGCTGTCTCTTGGACCAGCTGAAGGGCTGTCTCTATAGACCAGCTGAAGGGCTGTCTCTATAGACCAGTTGAAGGGCCTCTATAGACCAGCTGAAGGGCTGTCTCTATAGACCATCGGAAGGCTGTCTCTATAGACCATCGGAAGGCTGTCTCTATAGACCAGCTGAAGTGCTGTCTCTATAGACCAGCTGAAGGGCTGTCTCTATAGACCAGCTGATGGGCTGTCTCTACAGACCAGCTGAAGGGCTGTCTCTATAGATCCGCTGAAGGGCTGTCTCTATAGATCAGCTGAAGAGCTGTATCTATAGACCATCTGAAGGCTGTCTATATAGACCAGCTGAAGGGCTGACTCTATAGACCAGCTGAAGGCTGCCTCCGAGAACAAAATTACATTTTTATATAAGAACTGCGAGCAGATCCTTTAAAAAAGCGAGCTCTATTGAGCTACATGCCCATACTTCAAATTTGTATTTGCCGACATTTCACTTTCTATCCATTTCTGCCAGACAATTATCCAACACCACAATCACCCACCACTATTCGCTTCAGTTCCAATCTAATTTATTGAATGGACAATTTTTATTTGCTTTGCTATTCAAAGTTCCCAGCAACATAATCGGCATCATCATTATCAGCCAGCCAACCAGCAACAAGCGCCTCTATTGTGTTTTAGATTTTATGCGAAATGTGGACTCCATCGAAGAGAAGGAGTACCGCCTTTATATTAGCAGCAGCACCAACTCCAGCCAATATATGCAAATATGAGTGGAGTTTTTTTGTTGTGGCCAAACCAAAAACAAAGAAACTTATTTTACTCCATGGTAGCTACTGCCATGCCACTCCATTCCACGGGAAATCATAAATAATCTAAGCTTAATTCCGGTCGGTTATGTGCAATACAAGGGTGGATGGGAGGGAGGGGGCAACAGCATAAACGAGTGTTGCCACATGACTTATGGGCAAAATGGGAGCAGCAGCATTAATGAGACAAGACCACTGTTGAGATCTTAGAAAAGGGTTCCCCATAAGGGGGTGCTAGAAAAATACGATTTTTAAGATAAATTAACTGATACTTAAATTATAATAAAGAGGAAGGTATAACATTAGCCAAATGACCATCAAGAGCAGGCTTGAAGGATCGTATCCTTTTTATGAAATTTTGTCAAATCGGATCGGATTTTGTCAATCGATAGCGTCACGAATCGCTTAAACAAAGGCTGGGATGTTGGTGTCAACCTTACCTATCACAGCATTAACTGTAGGAGTTCGACGAGGATAATACCCCTCATGACAACATCTGGAATAACCGACTGATTAAGAAAAGACGATGTTGATCCTAACTTTCCACTCAAGTTGAAGGAGCATTGCCGTAATATGTTATATAAGATGATGCTCAGTCGGAGACTGTAATTTTAGCCAAGACCGGTTTTAAGACGCTGGTGGGAGAGGAAGATACAAAAAGAAGCAACATACTAATCACGAGGCTACGAAGAAACGTTGATTAAAAAGGATTCCTATTTTAAGAGCAGTTGTGTTACGGAATCAACAGAGGAACAGAATTGATATCTAGTCTTGTGGATCGTCTATAAGGCTTCGATACTTCTCAGATCTATGGATTACAAGGATCTCGCAGCTCGTCTATGAAAGACTCACTACAGCTTGTCTGTGAGAGGCTCACTTCAGCTTCAGCTCGTCTATGAAAGACTCACTGCAGCTCGTCTATGAAAGACTCACTGCAGCTCGTCTATGAAAGACTCACTGCAGCTCGTCTGTGAAAGACTCACTTCAGCTCGTCTATAAAAGACTCACTTCAGCTCGTCTATAAAAGACTCACTTCGGCCCGTCTATAAAAGACTCACTTCGTCCCGTCTATAAAAGACTCACTTCGGCTCGGCTATAAAAGACTCACTTCGGCTCGTCTATAAAGACTCACTTCGGCTCGTCTATAAAGACTCACTTCAGCTCGTCTATAAAAGACTCACTTCAGCTTCAACTCGTCTATGAAAGACTCACTTCAGCTTCAGATCGTCTATGAAAGGCTCACTTCAGCTCGTCTATGAAAGACTCACTGCAGCTCGTTTATGAAAGACTCACTGCAGCTCGTCTATGAAAGACTCACTGCAGCTCGTCTATGAAAGACTCACTGCAGCTCGTCTATGAAAGACTCACTGCAGCTCGTCTATGAAAGACTCACTTCAGATCGTCTATGAAAGGCTCACTTCAGCTCGTCTATGAAAGGCTCACTTCAGCTCGTCTCTGAAAGACTCACTTCAGCTCGTCTATGAAAGACTCACTTCAACTCGTCTATGAAAGACTCACTTCAGCTCGTCTGTGAAAGACTCACTTCAGCTCGTCTATCAGGAGTCACTACAACCCGTGTATTACAGATTCACTTCACCTCGTCTATGAGGATTTAATTCACCTTGGCTATGAGGACTCACTGACTCACCAGTAGCTCATCTATGGATACTTCTTTAGACCGCTTTTAAGACTCCCCCTAGTTCGTCTATAGAGCCTATTCTCAGGTAATTTTCAGATACTCCCTTCTCTTTGTAGACTTGTTTTAAGAGACTCCCCTTACCCAAATTGTGTTCCGGAATCAACAGAAGGACAGAATTAATATCTGGGTCTTCCAGATCGCCAATAAGGATTCCTCAGCTCGTCATAAAAGGTTTCCTCAGCTTGTCCTATAAGGCTTCCTCAGCTTGTCCATAAAAATATTTTGCCCTCCAGAATTCTAAGGATTATGAGGGCCTCGCAGCTCGTCTATAGAGACTCCTTGGCTCTTTACCTCGCCTATTAAAACTCTTTGGCCCTTCAGCTGTCCTATAAAGACAATGACCCGGCAGCTCACCTATGGGGACTTTTTAAGACAATCTTTTAAGACTCTCTCCAGCTCGTCTGTAGGGACTCCATTTTTAGCTTGTCTTTAGAAGAACCCTTCCTTTGCAGTCTTGATTAAAAAGCCTCCCCTTCATAATGTTATTGCAGATCTGGTATCTCCCTTACCCACACAGTTTATTTTTTTCTAAAATTTGTATTCATGTATGCATGTATTTAACTATCCGCCACATACATACATACATACGTACAGATATATTTATATCTTCATTGTTGTTTAATTTCCGTTTTAAGCCTGAACAGCTATTTTCAGTTCATCTATCAACAACAATAACTACAAAAACAACACCAACAAAAAACGTCTGGTATTGTCTGATGATATTGTAACTACTGCT